ACTGCCCCTCCAGCCCCTGCCATTTGTCCGTCGTCCCCCTGCGCGGGCGCGGGGACGGGGACAACCCAGCCCGGCCACAGCCTGAGCGCCGTTGCCGGAGTCCGGGGCTGGGAGCCCGGGAGGCGAGAGTCACAGGTTTTCCGCTCCCCTCCCCCGCCTCGCCGCCGGTCCCCCCGAGAAGTCACGGCCCCGAGCTTGGGGTGGGGGGCGGCCGAGCCGAGGTTGTGCGCGGGCGGCGGGGTGACGGGGTGCGCGCGTCCGCGGGTGAGTTTCGTTTTGACCCAGTTGTCTGAGAACTTTTCAGAAGTTCCTCGCGTGGCCGGAGCAGGTGACATTTGTCGCCTTCCTCCTCGGGCTCCCCCCGGGGGCGGGTGCCGGGGCTGTGGCGCGTGCCTGGCGCCCCCGGCAAGGCAGGGGTCAGGGAGGGAGAGGAGGGATGAGCGAGGAGTGAAGCTCCGTGAGTCACGGACTCCGGGAGGGAGGGAGGGATTGTGTCGTACGCTCACCTGTTTGTCAGTCACCGTCACACGCAGAGGCCACCGCTGTGAGTCACGAGCGCAGCTACCCGGGCCACCCGCGGGCACACGTAGGCTCTCTCCCACGCGCTGCTCCCCTCCCCGGCACGTACTTCCTCCTGGTCCTCAGTTTCCCCTCCCCGGGGGCTCTTCCGCAGGCTGTTGAGATGCCCACACGACAGCAGCCCTCACACACTTAGTCACTCCTGCTCCCTGGCACAATCACACGTAGCGCACACTCCTGACACAAGAGGGTCCCTCCTGGGCCCGCCACCCACCCGACACCTCCACTCAGATGTCTCATAGTTCTCTGGAACGGAACTCATCACCTCACCACCAAATCCTTGACATCACTGGCCTCATCGGTCTCCACATCCAGAAGTCACCAGGTCCATTCCCCTTTCTCGTTTGCCCTTGTCCTGTCATCTCTCACCTAGCTCTGGCAGCTCGGTGCAACCGGTCACACCCCTTCCCACCCCCTCCAGTCCCCGTGCTGAGCCATCTTTTTAAAATGCAAATCTGTTATTGTCACTCCCTACTTAAACCCTCTGTGGCTTCCTGTGCCCTCAGGCTAAAGCCTGCCCTGTCAGCCCTGGCGCCCTGCAGCCCCCTCTCAGGCCTCCCCTCCCCCCTCACTGCTCTGCCTCTCTCAGCTCAAATCCCTTACACTGCTCTGCCCCCTCTCTGGAACTCTTCCTACTTCCCTTCCTCCGAGAGACCTGTCTTCACTGCCAGCTGTACCCCTCCTGCCCCACCCCTCCCACCCTCCATCCCAGTACTCAACACTGGTTTGTAACTCTGATTATACTCCTTCCCACTAAACTCAAAGCTCAAGGGGGCAGCACCAGTGTCTGACTTGCTCCCTGTGTGTCCAAGTGCCTGACACAGTGCTTGGCAAGACATAGGAGCTCGATAAGTATTTGTTGAATGAATGAATGAATGAATGAATGATGAGAGTGAAGGAGGCCTTGCTTAGGTGCAGGGAGCAGTCACTGTCAGGTGCAATTTCCCTTCTGCAGGAGCAATTGCCTCACATAGCCAGCAAACATTTGGCACCTACCCAGTGCCAGGCCCTGGAGGCCAAGGCTGAGGAACTGTCCCCTCCCCCAGGATCACTTTCAGAGGGATGGGTGGGGGAGGGGTGTGTCTGTGCTCTCTGGGCTGCCTAGGCTGTTTTTCCAGCCAATCCCAGTGGGGGCTGGAGGTGCTCAGAGATGCCCTCCCCTTCTCCCAGGAAGTAGCTCCTGAGGGCCTGGGGTCATGTGACCCCAGGTGTTAGCGGGGAACTGACCCAGCCAGGCTAAGGCCTGGGGCTCTGAGGTTAAAGCACGCATTCTTCAGATTCCTGGAGGAGGATGGAGGCAGCTTAAGGTGCCCCTTCCCCATACCAGCCCTGGCTGGGGGCTGGGGCACTGGGACTGCTGAAGTGCTCAGAGGAGTTGGTGTGACTTTTCAGAGGCCTGGAGATATTCCTCCCCCCGCAAAACAGCCTTTGTTTGCTTGGTGTCCAGGGTGAGGTGGCCTTTCCTGGATTCACATCGTGTGGCCTGAGTGTGTAGATAGTTGTGGCAAGCAGGGTGGGAAGGCGTCCTCCCTCGTCCTGGGCTGTCAGCGCCTGTGTGTGGTGGCAGGAGAGCTGCCTGATTCTCAGGGCCCAGGCAGATCCCTGAAGAAGCCTGGTTCTCTTTGATTCAGGGCCTGTCTCCAGGGCTCTTCAGGGGTGTGGTGTTTCTGTCTGAGCCAGCTCCTGGGAATTGCTTTTCCTTCCTCCAGGACCCTAGGAGGGGGCTGTGCGCACCCTGGGAACGGTGCCATGGTCGGGATCTTGATTCCTGGGTAGCTGCTGAGGGCCCCTCCCCCACCCTCTGACTCACTGTCTGACACTTTTCTTGGACTCTTTCACTATCTTTCATTCCTTTTCTGACTTGGCCTCTCCTTGTCTCTGGCTGAGTCTTTTAGTCTCATCTCCCGCCTCTGCCTCTCTCAGCCTCTGGATTCCCAGGTGCAGGAGATCCAGGGGCTCTTCCCCCTCCCCCCACCCAAAGGCATATCAGGGAGGAGATAAATTCTCATTTCATCCCAGGTCTGCAGATCCTGCAAGGGCTTCCTCACTGGGACGTGCAGCACGGCCGGAGTCTCCTTACGGCCCTGTTTTCCTGTCTGCAGCCTTGGAGCTAATGACCCCTCACCTGAAGTTCCTGTTCTGTAGACATCCTTGAGGCACAGCCAGGGTGTCTGGCTGGAATCTGCTTCCTTGACATCTCTCTCTAGCTGTTTACTCTTGGGGAACAGGGACCCTCCTGAGATTCCTGCAGCCAAGCTTCCTTCTCCTGCCCTCAGAGCCATCCCTTTCTGAGTACCGTTCTTGCTCAACTCCTCTGGTACAGGCTGAGGGATGTGCATGTGGCCCCCCTCGTTAAACTAACTGTGGCAGGAGCAGGAGAAGATCACACTGACCAGTCACCCCCAGAGACCTCATGTACCTAAATCTTGTCTGTGTTTATACGTGGCGCGGCCTGTTTACTTCTGCTGGTCCTCAGGTGCTTTCTCTATGCCCAACTCGGTTCTAGGCACGGGCACAGTGACGGCTGGGCAGAGAGGCCCTCAGCCTGGTGTAAGGGAGATGAGCAGTTGAGGCCATTGCAGGATGGGGAGATAAGGGCTGTGATAGAGGAATCCCAGGGCCCGTGGAGGCCAGAAAGGCGTGTAGTCACTGAGGAGGAGGGGGGTTTCAGGGTGGCCCTCTTGGAGATGACTTCTAAAGTGGGGTGAGGCTGGGTTCCAGCTTGTGCAAAAGCCAGGAGGTGAGCAGGTCATGGGCATTAGGGGAACTGCAAGTTCAGCTGGAGTACAAAGTGAGAGGAGGGTGGGGAGATTCTTGCATGATGAGTCTAGAGGGCAGCAGCAGCCAGGCCTGCCTCAGCCTCTCCTGGAATTCTGGACTTGATCATTAGGGCAAGCTCCCCCAAGGGGAGCTACAGAGTGGTTCTAAGCGTGGGGGTGGGAGGTTGATCTGATATGTGGTTTAATAAGATCACTGGCTGCAGGGTGAAGAATGGCTGTGGGGAGAGGGCAGGAGCAGAGGCAGGGGACGTGGCTGGTAGCTGTGGGGACAGAGACATAAGGGTAATAAACTTTTAAAATTGATGAAGACACACATAAAATGCATAAAGTATATGAATCTTACATGTACAGCTAGATGAATTTTTAGTTTTAGACACCCATGAAGCTACCACCCAGATCAACATAGAACATTTCAAGACTCTCTCAGAAGATTCCCTCATGACATGCACCAACCCCACTACCCCATCACCACTATTCTGACTTCTGTCATCACTGCTTGGGTTTGCCTTTTCTTGAACTTCATTCACATGTATTCTTGTTCTGGCTGCTTTCACTCAGCATGATACCAGGGAGATCCATCTGTGTACTCATCCTTTTTCTGTGTTTTTTTTTTTTTTTTTTTACAGTGCAGAATTACACATTCACTGAGCACTTATCACTAAGAACTTGACGTGTATTGATTGTATTGTAAACCTGTAAACATGTATTGATTGTATCATAAACCTGTAAACGTGTATTGATTCATGTAAACCTCCTAACCCTTTGCGGTTTTAAGACAAAGAATTGGAGATACAGGGAGGTGAAGGAACTTACCCAGGGTCACCCAGCCAATGAATAGCCAAGCCAGGGTTCAGATGCAGGCAGTCTGGTTCTGGAGCTGAGGTTCTTAACACTGTGCTGGGTGGCCTCCATGGTATCTACTGAGTCTGTGCCCGGCCTTGTGTGGATTAAATGAGCTAATGTGTACTTCCAGGACTGAGTGATTGGATGTCGATGGAGGAAGAGGGAGGAAGGCGTTGAGGATGACTGCAGGTTTCTGGCTTGAGTAACTGGGTGGGTGGCAGTGCTGTTACTAAGATAGGGAGCACAGGAAGAGGAACAGATGGCAAGGGGGTGGGGGGACAGAGACAAAGGGTTCGATTTGGGGCCTGCGGAATTTTATGTTTCTAGGGACGGCCAGGCAGACACCAAGTGGGCATTTGAGGGGTCTCAGGCTTGGGGGTGTGATTAGGGAGGCATTCGGCAGCACCTTGGTAGACAGCATCTGGAGTTTAGGAAAGGATGGGGTCTCCAAGCAGGACTGTGGTGGGGACAAGACGCGTGGGTGTGTTTTTGTCGGTGTGAGTTTCTGTGTGTCTGAGTGTCTCTGTGGTCTGTATGTGTGTGCGCCTGGCTCTGGGTCATGACTTCCCATGACTCCTGGGAGAGCCTGCAGGTCAGCTGGGAACTGGGTTGTTTTTGTTTGTGGTTTGACCCTGGGAGGGGGAGTGCCACGCCTGAGAAACCACCCGCTGAGAAGCCCCCGGAAACACCTGTGCGGCCTCTTCCCCCAGGCCCAGTGCGGAGGGTTGGCAAAGGAGGGGAGCTCTCTTGCCTCTCTCGTGCCTGCAGAGAAAGGCCGTCCCAGGACGGATTTTATCCAGCAAGTTGGTGACAGCACACCCTCTAGGTCCAGGATCCAGGGACTTAGTGAGAGTCATGGCAAAAGGGGTAGGGGTGTTTAGAAAGGACACCTGAGAAGGGGAGATGGCCAGCCTTCTGGTTGGTTTTTCCTGTTCTCTCTCATTTCCTGTGATGGCAGTGGGGGAGGGGCTCCCCAGCACTGGGGCCTCTGCATCGTTTCCCCTTCCTCCTGTGACCTCCTGAGGCCCAGCCTTGAGTGCCAAAGAGGACACGCAGAGAGACAAGGTAGTTGTGCTCAGCCCTTAGGACTGAGTCCTTTGGGGATTCCCAAGCAGTGGAAGGGGCTATTATTTGCTGCAGCGTTTAGGGGAAGGAACCCCAAGTCCTCTCCACTCGGATGAGGCCAGCCAGGCTCTGGGAGTTTCTGGTTGCACTCTTGAGGAGGGCTGAGACCCTCAAAGGGGGGACGCAGATGTGTCTGGGGTGTGTCCTGGGGCGCTCCAAGTCACCAAGCTATAGACAGGAGAGAGTGGGACGTTGTCTTGGCTGGTCAGTTTCACTAGAAGAGGGGTTTTTTTTGTTTTAAGGGGAAAAAATAATTTCCAAAGGAAGTTAATTCAAACAAAAAGGGTTAGATATTGGAGTAGAAGGCAAGATGTAGGTGAATTTTTGAGATCAAATGAGATGTTAAAGAGACATGACGTCTAGGTGGCTCCGGTCCCACAGTCGGGCCTGGGGACTTCTGCAGAGCGGGAGTTTCTGAGGGAAAGTCTGAGCAGCTCCATCTCAGGAGAAGAGGGGCTCAGGAAAGTCCTGGGTCTGGGAATTGAGGCCAATGTCGAAACCAGCCTGTTTCCCCAAGTGCCCTGATCAGCCTGGCCCGGGAGGGAGGGCCTGCGGCCCATATGTGTGTATGCAGGGTGGTGTGTCTGTGGGTGTGCTGGGGGAGGAGGAGGAGGAGGAAGCAGAGCCACTGTACAAGGGCTGTGCAGGCTGTCGGTGCAGACGGCCTCACACACACAAAGGCGCACAGATGTGAGCCATGTGAATCACCCAGCCAGTGACTCAGCCCCCGGGATTCCTGTTGGGGAATGAGCGAGGCTGGACCGAAGGCTGTAGGTCCATCTGTCGGTCTGGTGTATGTGTGTGTGTAGGTGGGTTGTAGGAGGTAGTGGGGAAGGTGCCTGGCCGTGTCCTGGGAAGGCTTTAGGGCAGACGTGGTGGGAGTCTGCAAGCACCAGGACAAGGGTTGGGACCTTGGTGCTCTGTCTTGTGCAAAGAAGCCTCCTGGAGACGTGCCCCCTGCACGGAGAGCCCCATAGGCCCAGCTGGGAGTTCTAAGGGGAGGGACATTTCGGAAGGTAACTGGGAGAGATGATGGTCATGGCTGAGGTCCCACCTCTTGCCCTCAGGCCTGCCACTTAGAGCTTTCTCCTTCCCCTTCCAGGCTGTCTGTGCCCAGACTCCGGAGCACCCCCTGCACCACCATGACTGGGCTGCTGAAGAGGAAGTTTGACCAGCTGGATGAGGACAACTCCTCGCTCTGCTCCTCCTCCTCCTCCTCTGTGTCCTCCTCGGGCCGCCACTCCCGCTCCTGCTCCCCGAGCTCTTCAGTTTCCCTGGCCTGGGACTCGGACGAGGAGGGTCCCTGGGATCAGACGCCCCTGCCTGACCGTGACTTCTGTGGCCCCCGAAGTTTCACCCGTGAGTCCTCCCTCCCCTGGGAACCCCACTACACCCCTCTTCCTTCCTGAAGATGAATTTGGGAAGCCCCTAACGAAGCCATTCCAGCCCCTGGAGGTTGTGTCCCTATGACTTGAGTGCCTTACTTGGCTCCCCACCTTGTCCACTTTCCATAATGCAGTGGTCACTCAGGAATGCCCACTGTCCAGAGGCACTTGGGCTGGGCTAGATTGACCTTTGACCTTGGGACTCCCCTCCTCAGAAGACGTGCAGGATGGAGCTCCTCAGAGTGGCCCTCAGGCTTTCCCCCTCTGGCTCCCCCCTTCTGTTCCAGTTTTGTCTCTCCAGCTTGCACCGTCCTCCTACCACCTGAACTGCTGCAGTCCCACGCCCCACACTCCTCCACTGCCGGGCCTGTTAAGCCGGTCCCTCTCCTGTTAAAGTGCTATTGGGCTTTGCCTGAACATAGTGAAAAGGTTTTTTCCCAGTTATTTTTCAAGCTGGTGTAATTCTGATTCCAAACTGACAAAGATGGCCCTACAGCAGTGTTTCTCAAACTTATTTTTCATTTTCGCTCCTCCCAACTCCAAGGAGCCTTTTTAGACTTTTTTTTCCTAATCACCCTCACCATGACATTTTAATACCACAGATATGATGTCTGGTTATGTATTATATACATATCTGCATTATACATTAAAAAAGAGTATGATTTTTAGCACATAGAATCTAACAGTACATTAACTGGCTAAACTACTCTGGGCTTATTCTGGAAATACCAGGATGGTTTAATGTTATAAAATCCAATCTTATAGTTTACCAAATGACTATGTTAGAGGAGGAAAAACATGAGAACCACTGTCGATGCTGAAAGAATATTTGATAAAATGTAATGTTCCTTCTAGATAAGACCCTTGGTAAGATAGGAATATGTAAATTCTACCTTAAATGATAAAAAATATGTCTCAACCCAAAAGCTGGCATTCTGATTAATGAGGAAATACTGGAAGCAGTCCCATTAAGTCAGGAACAAGATGAGGACACTGTCACCGCTGTTAGTTAACATTGTTCAGGAAGTGCTAGCCAATTCAGTTAGCAAAGAGAATAAGAATTCTATGTATTGGATTGGGATAGGCAAAATTGCCATTATTTGCAGATGGTTAACTACTTGGTGAATTTAAAAATAGAAACAGAAAACCTTTTAGAAGGGAATTCCATCAGGTAGCTGGGTACAAAATTAATATATTAAGTTGAAATATATGCAATTGCTAGTATTCACCTATTTTATGGTAATTTCTTATGGTTCTACCTAATAAAAAGCAATAATATACCAATATATGTATTGAATATACCAATACATAGCTTACTAATCAATATACAATCAATAACTTAAAGAGAAGGCCTTTCTAAGCCTGATGCAAATGCAGAAGCTATAAAGGAAAATATTAATATATTTTTTAGGAGATAAACCTTAGAAATTATTTTGCAAAATGCCATGAACAAAAATAAAAGACTAAAATATTTGCACAGATAGGTTAAACAGATGATTGATGTCTCTAATATCATATATAAAGAGCTCCTACAAATAGATAAAACTAGAAAACTGTACAAGAGACCTATAAATGGCTAATAAAAACGGGAAAGCTGTTTAATCTTACAAGTGCTCTTATTTGGACTGGTAAACAACAGTAAGCCAGTGTTGACATAGGGGTGGTGTTCAATTTTACCAGCTCCAATCCCAGCCAGGCTGGCTCCTAAATTCAGACCCATTTCTTTTTTGGGGGTGGGAGGGAAGTGGGGGAGGTGTGAAGAGAGACAGTTCAGCCTCATCTTCCTGGAGGTTATGCTGTGCCTCACAGAGAACTAATGCCCTGCCCCCTCCCTGCCTGCCTTCCAGCCCTGTCTATCCTGAAGCGGGCTCCCCGGAAGCGCCCAGGCCGCGTGGCCTTCGATGGTATCACCGTCTTCTACTTTCCTCGGTGCCAGGGCTTCACCAGCGTGCCCAGCCGTGGCGGCTGCACTCTGGGTATGGCCCCTCGCCACAGTGCCTGCCGCCGCTTCTCCTTGGCCGAGTTTACACAGGAGCAAGCCCGGGCCCGGCACGAGAAGCTCCGCCTGCGCTTGAAGGAGGAGAAGCTGGAGGTGCTGCAGTGGAAGGTGGGGAGACCCCTCTACAAGGTCCACGCCCTTGGGCAGCTTCTGAAGTCCCAGCCTTGAGGGGAGGGGGCTTGGGGTGGTTGCCGGTTTGCTCATTATGTATGTGGGGAAAGAGGCCCATGGGGCCGGTAATTGCGTGATCAGGGTCCGTTGCCTGAATTATCTGCAGACAGTGCAGAAGGGCACGGAAGGGCTCGAGTGTGCTGCAGGGGCTTGGTCTGTGATGCCTGAATCTGAGTGACCTCACTGGGGAGGGGGACGTGGATGTGGAGTTGATGTAACATTGAGGGTGGCTGTATCTGTCTGGCTGGGGGAGGGAGTTTGTCCATGAACTGGGAAATGACGTGAGCAGGAAATCTTGTTGCAAATGCCCTAAGAGCGGTGTTCTTGGCTATCCCATTCACTATGGTATCCACAGTGCCCAGCCCAGAGTAAGCACATGGGGAGCGTTTGTCGAGTGTCTGTGCCTCTCACATCACTCCTCTCTCCCGTGGATGCAGCTTGCAGAGGCTGGGGTGCCTGAGACGGAGGCCAGCCCGCCACTTACCGTGGACGCCATTGATGATGCCTCTGTGGAGGAGGACTTGGCAGTGGCCGTGGCAGGCGGCCGGTTGGAGGAGATATCCTTCCTACAGCCCTATCCAGCCCGGCAACGGCGGGCTCTGCTGCGGGCTGCCGGTGTGCGGAGAATCGATCGTGAGGAGAAGCGGGAGCTGCAGGCTCTGCGCCAATCCCGAGAGGACTGTGGCTGTCGCTGCGATAGGGTCTGCGACCCTGAGACCTGCAGCTGCAGCCTGGCAGGCATCAAGTGCCAGGTATGGTGTCCAGACCGGGCTGGGAAGGGGAGCCTGAGCTTGGGGGCTTCTTGGTGCTCCACGGGATCCTCACTCGTGTCTCTACTTGCTCTGCAGATGGACCACACAGCATTCCCCTGTGGCTGCTGCAGGGAGGGCTGTGAGAACCCCAAGGGCCGTGTGGAATTTAATCAGGCACGAGTTCAGACCCATTTCATCCACACACTCACCCGCCTGCAGCTGGAGAAGGGGGCTGAGAGCCTTGGGGAGCTGGAGCCTCCTGCCCAGGGTGGCCCACCCAGCCCTGGTGAGCAGGTCTTGGCCCCCACTTTCCCACTGGCCAAGCCCCCTGTGAGCAGCGAGCTGGGAGACAACAGCTGCAGCAGCGACATGACCGATTCCTCCACTGCATCAGGCACCAGTGAGGCCCCTGACGGCTGCACCCACCCGGCCCTGCCTGGTCCTGGCTTCCCGCCTAGTGTGGATGATGATAGCCTGGTTCGGATCTTGAGTTTCAGTGACTCTGACCTGGGCGGAGAGGAGGAGGAGGAAGAAGAAGGGGGTGTGGGGAGCCTCGACAACCTCAGCTGCTTCCACCCAGCTGACATCTTCGGTACTGGTGACCCTGCTGGCATGGCCAGCTGGACCCACAGCTATTACAGTTCTAGCCTCACATCAAGCATCCTGGATGAAAACGCCAACCTGGATGCCAGCTGCTTCCTAAACAGTGGCCTTGAAGGGTTGGGAGAAGGCAGCCTCCCTGGCACCTCAGGGCTGCCCAGCATGGACGCCGGCCAGAGCAGCTCAGTGGACCTCAGCTTGTCTTCCTGCGACTCCTTTGAGCTGCTCCAGGCCCTGCCAGACTACAGTCTGGGGCCTCACTACACCTCCCGGAAGGTGTCTGACAGCCTGGACAACCTTGAGGCACCCCACTTCCTCTTGCCTGCCTTTTCTCCGCCTGGGGATGCCAGCGCTTGCTTCCTGGAGTCCCTCGTGGGCTTGTCCGAGCCAGCTGCCGAGGCCCTGGTGCCCTTCATGGACAGCCAGTTGTTCGAGGATGCTGCCCCAGCGTCTCTGGTGGAGCCTGTGCCTGTGTGAGGACTGAAGTGCCTTTCTCCGGCCCCAGGAGCCCTGTTGCTGCTTTGTTGTAATTTGGGGGCTCCCTGAGGTCTGTCTGGAACGGTCTCCCGTGGGCTGGCTCACCCACGTGGGCACTCCTAATTTTCATGCAACACTCTGGATTGATTTATTTATTTTTGTCATTTTCTGTGCTAAGAGGGGGTGGGGAGGGGGCTTCCTCTTTCAGCTGCCCAGCCCCCGCACCCTCTGCCCCCACAGTCCCTTCCGCTTGCACGGCCCTGTGCCAGGAAGCGGAGGGAATGTGGCTCCTCTGGAGCTTTGCAGACCCCTTTTCAGTCTTGTATGATGTTCCTTGGCCCAAAGACAGCGAGACAGGGCTGAAATCAGCCACTTCTTACGGCTTCTCCTGCCAGCGTGAGCCATAGACCCATGGGTGGCTGAATCCTCTGGACTGTGAAGACTATAATTTATTTCCATAATTTATTTGGAGACTAAGTGGCTTAGGCTTCTCCTCTTTGGCTGGTGGGCAGTGCTGGGGTCGGGTGGGGTGCAGACCCCTCTGAGTCCCTTTTGCCTTATAGTCCTGCAGCCCTGCCTGTCTGGGCTTTGGTGTAGACCGGGTGTGGATCTGAGCCCTATGTCGACTATGGCAGCTGCCTGGCTCTGGATGGCTGAGCAGGGAGGGGCTGCCCGGGACAGCGTCTGGGCAGGGGGAGGGGCTGGGCTGACCAACCGTGACCAAAACCCTGTTCTGCCCCACACAGCCCTCTCTGCTTCCTGTCCTCTGCCCCATCTTCCCCGTTCCCAAAGGTCACAGCCTTTATTCGGCCCTTTAATGTAGGAGGGGGAAGCAGGAGGCCCAAAGAGGGCCAGGGGTTTGCCTCAGGGCCTGCAGCATGCCCCTGACTACTATCTCAGGGCTTTCTGGGCACTGCACTCCAGCCTGGTCCACCTGCCCATGCCCTAAGGCCAGCTGGCCAGGGACAAGGGGTGGCTCCTTATGGCTTTTATGCCCTTCGTTTGCTGATGTTGAATTCCGCATCATAATTTCTATATTGTCCCTGAGTATTAGAACTATAATTTATTCATTTTTCTCTGTGTCTGTGCCAAGAAGCCCAGGCTCCGGGCCTTCCCTCTTGCCCAGGAGGCCTTGCCAGCCTGCGGGCTTGTGGGAACACTTTGTACCTGAGCTTACAGGTACCAATAAAGATGCTCTATTTTTAACAGCGTGGTCTGCATTTGTGAAACAGGGAGCATGGGTCCTCCCTCAGCAGGCAGTGGGAGGACGGGGAGACAGGCCCCGCAGGGCAGTGTGGACATAGGCTGTGTTGAGGATGGGAGTGGGGGGCACAACACATTAGGCTTCTTCCACGCAGCCAGGCAACTTGGAGACAGGAAGTCAGCAAAGAGAGGCTGGTCAGGCAGAGGGAGCAGTTTTCCTTCTGGATGACCCCATTGCTCTCCAGTGGTCACCTGGGATGGCCGTGGGGAGCAGCAGGAGGGCAGTCTTCTGAGACAGCTATCTGCTTGGGATGGGAAAGGGCTCACTCCTTCCCACTCACCTACCCTGAGCTGGGGCCCGACCCTGAGAGTGAGGTCACCTGCACTAGATGGGGGTGGGCAGTGGGCTGTGGCTGGTGGAGGCCTAGTGTGGGGCTTAGCAGCTGAGGTCCCTGGGGACTTGAGCACAGGAAGCTGCAGAACCTCATCCATCTGCACCAGCCAGACCTGTCTGACCTGTCCCCGGCAGCCTGGGCTGCAGGCCAGAGGAACAGGCTGCACCTTGCCCTGGGGAGCCCCAGTCTGGGGGCCTGAAGAGCAAGGTCGACCTCCCCCTTAGGAATAATAATGATTATACAAGAGCTGGTGAGGGGGACCAAAAAATGATAACTGACTTGGGTGTCCTTTTCTTGCTCTGCTTCTCTGCCTCTGTTGATCTGTGCTGGCTCCCCTTACTTCATCTCGATGGCTTATAGGTTAAGAGCACAGACCCAGAATCCAGCTCTTCTACTACCTGGTGAGGTGACTTAGACAAATTACTTCCTCTCTGCCTGGGTATCTTCAATACTGTGCAAATAATAACACTGCTCATCTCATCAGCTTGTTCAGTTCACATATACACAGCACTTGGAAAAGTGCCTGGAACGTGAGCCTCGTGTGCGTGTTTGTGACTTCCATTCTGTTTTCATGTTTCTGCCTCTATGTTCTGTCCTCTCGTTTGTCACTTCTGTCACCCTTTAGGTATCTGTTTCTTGCCTCCAGGCATGCATGGACATGGCCACATGGCCATATTGGCAGTGGCCATTAAAGGACTCCGCTTGGAGTCTGGCCTATGGTGGGGCAGCCTGTCCCTGTATCCAGCTCAGGCAGGGACAGCCAGGTCTTAAGTTTCTCAGGATGGAGTATCCTGGTACATTCAATTGTCCTGTCTGCCCTCTCACTGGTCCCTGGGAACCCTTTTGTAGAGATTGCTTCAGTATGCAGGAACTAAAACTGGGGTCTCTCCAAGGGCTCTGAGGCTCTGCTCTGCCCAGCCTGGGGGTCTGGATGCCAGCTCCCAGCACCTCTGATACCCTAGCTGGAAGCCCCTGCTAGCGCATAACCCAGACACAGCCCAGGCAGGACTGAGGCTGCCCACTCCCCATCTAGGGCCACAGGGTCACTTCTTGGCTTTTTTTTTTTTTTTTTTAAGATAAATGAAGACAACTTAGGTTTTACAGCAATAAAAACATGATTAATGGACAATCCTTTACAGTATCATTCTCCATACAGACAGACCTGCCTCTCAACACAACCTGCCCCAAGAAAAAGCAGCTCATAGTAAAGGGGACTGCTTTCCATAGGAATGATGGTAGTAATCTGGGGAAAGTTTCCAGATCATTGACTCAGACAAGAGGCCATGCAAGGGATCAGCAGTAGGTTATAAAAACAAGGCTCGGCAACCATCATGGACAACTTAGGCTGTTGTAAAAGCCTCACCCGTTCCGTTTCCAAACCTTAGTCACTAAGATAACTTCTCTTGAGAACTTTGCCATAGCTGCATTCTCCTCGTACTGAGTATTTTACTTTATATCAATTATATCAATATACTTAAAAGTTAGAACCATTCTTTGTAATAGCACCCACAAATTCATGAGTTTGTTGTGCTAGTTATTTTTCTCTATTATATAAAAATGATATCTAAACACAGTTATTAGACTTTCAAATGTTGGCTGTGTATCATTGGCAGGGATTTGTACAGTGATTTGGGAACACACAGATCTAGTCTCATTTCCTGACACAGATGGGGACACTGAGACCCACAGAGGGGAATGGTCTTGGGAAGATCACACAGGAAGATTCTAGACCTCCTGACTCCCAGATCAGAGTTCCTCCCCGTCAGGTCAGACTGGCCCGTTACTGCCATCCTGAAAAACAGGAAGAGAGGTACTGGGAGCACAGCAAAGGTGACCTCTGTCACCCTCTTGCCAGTTACAACTAACATTATTCATCTAAATAGGGAGCACTGCTTATGTCCCCTTAAGTGTTAAGAGGGTTTCTAGAGGATGAATTAGTTGGTCAGTGTCTTTTACAAAAGCTGAAGTGGGAACTCTTTTGTCTTGGGAGGTATTTCCCTGCACCAGGCTGGGGTAATCAGGTTTGTCCCAAAACAGTGAGGACCAGCAGAGGCCTGCTCAAGACTTGGGGAGGAGGAGAAAGGACGTATGGACAGAGTGGGCCACTGGCCCTTAGGACCTGCAGGATGACGGCCTCTCTCACACAGCCTCAGCCTTCTACAGCTGGTCCTCCTGCCTGGGCCCACTGCCAGGGAGCATGCAGCAGGCAGCATGGCAGGGACGAGCAGTTGCTTCTTTAGCTCTAGGATTCTGGGGACCAGACAGGAGAGGGGAGGCATTTATGGGCTGACATAACAATATTAAAATAGCTGTAGGCTATTTTTTTAACCACCTCTTTGTTCCCCTCTGCCCCCTCACACAGTCTTGGATAAAAGTGGGGCCCATTAGAAGGTGCCCAGTGAGCCCAGCCGAAGCTAAGCTGGTTGACGTCTTTCTTCCTCAGAGCAAAACTGCTCCTTGTGCCTTAAAAACATAAAGCTTTGGGATGCCCTTTAGACCAGATGAGGCATGATTCAAATAAACCACACACAACATAGAAATGAGGAAGAATATGTCATTTTCTGAATCTCTTCGCCACTGACCCACTTCCCACCCCCCTCCATGCAACTTCTGTAAGTTGATGGCTTCTACCCACCCTGGCTCCCACTGACCACAGCTAGGGTCTCAGAGATCCTTGGGCCTTTTCCAAAATTTCTTCTCTGATTTTGGGGTAGTTGGGGTACTCCCTGAGGACCTGGGACAGAGTGAGAAAGGGTGTGAAACATCAGGCCGGGCTCCTCGCCACTGCACCAGGCCACTGCCCCAAGCCCTCCCTGCCAGTGTTGGTGGCTTACATTGTGGCAGACTTCGATGGCCTCCACGTATCTCTTATCCTTCAAGTAATTGAAAGCGAGTTTGAAGCCTGTCCAGGGGCAGCGAGAATATAGATGGTGGGTAGCACCCTGATGACCTGAGAGCCCCTCTGATTCCCACAATAGCCAGAATACAGGCCTTGAGTTCTGGGGTCAGGGTGGTGGTCCTCCTGCCCAGCTCCCTCCTGCACCCACGTGCACCTTGGCTGGCTGCCTTACCAATAGCAGGGCTGGCATGATGACTGTACTTCCAGGCCAGCTCGTAGTTGGTGGCTGCGTCCTTGTAGGACTGCTCCTTCTCCATGATGAAGCCCATGTACTCGTAGGCCTTGCAGCAGGACTGCAGGGAAAGCCGGTCAGAGCCCCTGCAGGGTAGGGGGAAGCCACAACGGGTCCCAGAGCCTGGGGTGGGGGGGAGGAACCAGCCGGGGCAAAGGATGGCTGCGAGCTGCATTCACCCAAACCACTCAGGGACTCCAGCAGCACCCCCACCTTTGCGAGGGGTGAACTGTAACCCTCTTCTCAGCTATTTGGACGCTGGCATGACCCCTTCTCCCGCAGCCCTCCTGCTCAGACCTGCAAACACCGTCCTGGCCAGACGGACCCCTGCATGCCCCTCGACCTCATGAACTTTTCCTAGCTCTCTTCCTCACTCTGTGTTCCCCACTCGGGGTTGCCCGACCCTGTGCACCTCCTCTTGCCTTTGCCCCATCCCCCGTGGTCCCCCTTCCCATCCTGCTCTGTCGTCCATGCGCCCCTCTTGTCCCACCTCTTCTCATCACATTTCTACCCCGCATCTCCGTGGCCTGAAGCCCACTCGGCGGGCGCCGCTTCCCCCAGCCCCGGCTGCCCCGACGGCAATGCGCCCCTCGCCTTGTTGTATTGCACGCAGCGCCGCAGCAGCTCTGAGGCGAGGTCGAACTTGCCGCCCTGGCAGTAGATGTCGGCCAGCAGGAGCCAGCTCTTCTCCAGGTCCTCAGCCTCGGCCAGCGCCCACGGGGCCTTGGCCAGGCGCTTCAACTGCGTGCGCGCCTTGGGGACCTGCTTCAGCAGCGCGTAGGCCTGCGCCATGGCCAGCAGGGCGGGGACACTGTCCTTCTGCGCACCGGGTGGGGGGAAGAGGGGTGGAAACAAGAGTCTTCGCTCGGCCCTCGGCCTGGCCCCGCCGCCCTGCCGCCCTGCCGCCCCGCCCGCCGGCGCACCTCGGCCTGCGCCATCTCGATGAAGGTGCCCAGCGCCGCCTCCACGTTGGCCTTCTCCCTGGTGGCCAGCAGGCAGAGGCTCTTCAGCAGCCGCAGCTGGGTCTGGCCCCAGGCCGAGTGCGGGTAGAACTCGCGCAGCAGCTTCTCGGCGGTGCGCACGCCGTGCTGATCCGACTCCCTCCTGTCGGGGGAGCTGCCGGCATGGGACGCCGAGTCGGAGGCCGCCCCTGCCCGTGTGGCCCTCACCTGGCCTGGACCCAGAGGCCGCAGGCTCTCCCCGCCTTCCCCAGGGTCCCACCCCTGCCCGCGCAGGCCAGCCGGGCCCTTACTTGCTCTCAGCCACCAGGTTCTCGAAAGCCTCTCCGCCCACGATCTCGCTGTCTGGGTTCAGACAGATCTGCACCATATAGTATGTGGCGCTCTGGCCCCAAATGCTGTCCTTGCGCGCTTTGTTTAGGAACTTCAGGGCTTCGTTGGGCTGCCCTATGTGCCTGTAGTGGAAGAGAGAAACACCAAGCATCAGGGAGGGAAACGGAGGGGTGGGGAGTGCAAAGACACACAGGGACCACTCCAAGTGTCTGCACAGAGCAAGGGCTGGACTGCTGGCCTCCTGGCTCCCTGATCTGGAAGGTGAATTTCTGCTTCCCTAGTGCTGAGCAAAAGCCCAGCATGTCTGTTAGAGGCAGCTTCCTGCACATACCTGCCCTGGCACACCCATCCCCCAACTCACCAGGAGTAGATGCCTCTGCAGTAGTTGAATCCTGGCTCCAAAGGCACACGACTGGACATCTTCTTGGCCAATTCAAAGAAGGCAGGGGCATCTTCAAGTTTGCCACTTCTTCGTAGCAGATCAATTAGTTTATTCAATATGAGAAAATTGTCTAAAATAAGAAAGCAGAAATCTCCAGGCTGTGATAACCAACAGCTGTATCAGGTGGGGTGCTATGGCCTGGCAGGGAGAAGCAGCGAGGACCAGGAGACACTACTCATTTGGGCTGAGCAAGGACATCTCAGTGGCTCTAGTGTCTCCACTGGTCTCCAGTGTTGAGAGAATAATAATGCTTAAAAGTAGTAATAATAACAGCTAACACTTACATACCACTTATATAGTAGTTGGCATTAAGTGCTTTACCTATATATTAACTACACAATGAAGTAGGCACTCTTATTGTTCCGATTTTACAGATGAGGAACCTGAGACACAAAGAAGTTATCTGCCAAAGGTTACACAGCTGGTAGGCGGAAGACCAGGATTCAGACCTAGGCAGTCTGGCTCCAGGACCCGCATTCCTAACAGCTGTGATCCGCTGGGCCTCTGGGCAGACTCTGCTGTGAGCCTGTGGGGCTCCAGCCTGAGCTTCCTGTGAGGCCCCTTCTCCAGCAGGTTTTATGCTGCCATGAGTGTGAGTGGAGCTACATATCAGGAGAGAATTTCGAGCCACCTCCAGTTGGCTGTGACCTCAGAGGGGACTTATGTGGAGCCCCGGTGTCTGTGATTTGGAGACAGACAGGCTGTCCTGGGTCCCGGGCCAAGCACTGCCGTGCCTGAGACCAGGAACTGGCCCCGTGGACTCGGAAAGGCCAGCACGTTCCATCGGGGCTTTATCAGTTTCCTGCCTCTCTGGGAACAATCAGAGAGGAAGGGGCTTTCTCTGCCCAATCAGGAAGGAGGGGAGAGGGCCCACCCTTCTCGGGGAGAGCAGCCCTTGCCCGGTGGGAACTGAGACAGGCAGTCTCACTGGGCGGTCTCCATGCAGGCAGTTACCTGGCGCTTTCTCCAGGACTTGGTGGTAGAGATTGATGGCGGCTTCGTATTTCTGTTTTCTAAACATCAGGTCAGCCATCATCTATCAGAAAACACACAAGGCTCCGGAATTCCTGACAGTAGCTTGCATGGGTGTGGAGGGGAGGCTGGGGGTGGATGCTAAGGAGACAAGGTAGAAGAGGACTTCCAAGGTAGCCTTTCCAGGCACCCGGGAGAAGCTGCCACAGGAGGAGCCCAGAAAGTGGGGGCCTGTGGGGGAAAAGGGGCTGGGGTGAGGATGGAAGTGGGAAGATCAGGCCAGGGGTAGACAGCCACAAGAGCCAGCCCCTCCACCCACATCTGAGAACTGCCAGCTCAGGTGGTGAGGCAGAATGGGGCACCCCTCCTCTGCTGGGTGGCCCTGGAGGTGGTCTGGGGGATAGGAGGAGAGAAGTAGGACTGGGGAGGGCTTTTCCCACACACTTCCCCAAGCCCCTGTAACCTGTCACACCCCTGCCTCCACCAGTGGGTGTGGTTTCCCCTGGAGCGAATCAACCTCACCGCCGCCCTTGGGATTGGTCCTGGAGGTTGATGCTGCCCCCTGCTGCCAGCCCACCCCTCCAGTCTGAAGGGCAGCAGGTCCAGCACTCAGTCTCCTTGGCCCGACAGGCCCTCAGGGGTGGTCAGCCAGGCATCTGAGGTTATGGGGCTACAAAACATCCTGCATGTGGTCCCAGGGACCCTGGGGAGGGAAGGGAAGAGGTCTCGGGGGCCTCTTACCACGGAGGCAGTCTCGTGGCTCTTCTCAGTCTGCAGGAGGATAGCACAGTGCTGCTCGCACAAGTCCAGGTGCCCCTGGAGCAGGTAGAGCTGCGCCAGCTCCAGCACCACCTGCGACAGGACCAGGTGGAATAAACTAACCAATGAACATCGTGGGAAAACTTGGGGATGGAAGCCTTGTTCTCACACCCCATTTCAATCAGCTCTGCCTTCAAATGTGTCTGCAATCCCTGGGACAACGTCTCTGGCTCTCCCCTTCTCCCACCCAGTACTCCATCATACCATGAGTTTTACTAACTAACCTCTGAAGTTGGAGCCTGGTTAACTTATACTCATCCTTCAGCTTCAGCTCCGACCTTACCTCTTCTGGGAAGCCCTCTGCACCCCAGACTCTGGGACAGGTACCCTTCTGAGTTCCCAGTGCCGTGACCCACATGCAGGCACAGATCGCATGGTGTTAGAACTGCATAGGTACTTGGCTGTACTCCCTTGCTGAGGACAATCTATGGCAGGGACCACATCTTGCCCCACTGTGTCTCCAGGGCCTAGCACAGTACCTGGGACATACTGGAAATCTGTTAAATGAGTGCACGTTGAATGAATGAATGGACCTGTCACTAAGCTCTTCATTTACTCTCTTAGGTGAACTCCAGCCAGCATTCTCTATCCGGTGCCACACTTCCCTCCTTGGAAGCTTAGCCTGGGCTTCATGCCCAAAGAGCCCTGGCAGCCACACTCTCACTCCCCACCTGCAAGGGGAACCTGAGAATGCCAGACTAACATGACTTTCAGCAGAATCTTCCCCCCCAATCCGCCCTCCACAAATGGCTGTCCCAGGTGAGGCTTCCCTGCCTTGCTCTGGGGGCTGCCGAGGGTGAGGGCCCTGGGGCCAGCCAGAGCAGGCTCCCACACCAAGGGTCCCATGCCCCATACACCTGCAGCTCCTCAGGGAGGCACAGAGAAGGAACTGGCCTCTGCCTCTGGTCAGGGAGCTCTGCAAGGCATCGTGCCCCAAGAGAAGAAGCAGGGTCTTGCTTTGAGGACCCCACCTTATTGTCAATAGGTGAGTAGGAGAGGGCATCCTTATAAGATCGCACAGCCTTGGCATACTCCTTCTCTGCCAGGTAGTGCTCCCCAAACTGGACGCAGATGGAGGCCGCCAGTTGCTTCTGAGAGGGGATCATTTCAGGTTGCTCCAGTGGAACACGCTTCAGTATCCGAGACTGAAGGTCCATGGCCTCGGGAAACCAGTAAACTCAGGATCAGAAACCCAGAGTCTGATGTGCCAGATCTCAAGCCAGTTCCCAGAAAGTCTCCAAGCTCTTGTTTCAGAGCCAGTAGTGTTAGAAAGGGCATCTCAAGTGCCCTTTAGCAAATCTGGGTCACTCTGGACAAGCAAGGCCCCTGGGTGAGTCCTCAGGAGGCAGGCTGGCACTGCCTCTGGGCAGGGGCAGAGGCAAAGGCCCTCAAACAAAGCACTCTATTGTACTTTACTTGTTCACCTGTTTCCAGCACACCTTGACACTTACTGGGTCTAATTTGCTTTGGCTGTCCTACAGGCTAGAACAAGCACACAGTAGGTATTGAATGCAGGCAATGTTTTGATGGATGCATATGTTCTGAATATTGACCTGCTGGGAGTTTGAGGCAGCCCCCACAAATGTCCATGACATTCAATGACCAAGTGAGTAAACAGAGAGCATCAGGGCAAAGGGAAAGGATGATGCCAGCGTTAAGTTTTGGGAAGTGGGCACAAATCAGCACTCAGTTCCCCGAGGGCCAAATAGAGGAATGAGAATCCAGTGGGAAAGAAGGGAATAAATCATCTCAAGCCGTCAGAGAGTGGGCTCTCGCTCTACAACCACAGCACACCCCCCCAGGAACAAGTGCCAGGCCATAGCCTTGGGTGGAAAGAGTGAGGAAGGTGTGGCAGGAAGGGCCAGGAGCTCTCCTATCAGGGGCAGCTGAGCAGGGAAAGAGTATAGGTTGGGACAGGCCAGACCTAGTTCAAAGCTCAGCTCCACCACCCACTAGCAATGGGGCTTTGGGCACATTTCTCAACCTCTTTGAGCCTTACCTGTTAAATAGGAACGTCACAGTGCTTATCTCAAAGGGCTACTGTGAGAATTAAATAAGAAAGCAAAAACCCTAGTACAGAACCCAGCATAGCACATTTAATGCATGAGAGCTACTGGCATTGTCTGTTATTATCACCAGCAGCATCCTTGAGGACAAAGGCACTGTCTTACTCCCTGCCTTCTCCAGCCCAGCCCAGCCCAGCCGGGCTTAGAGCACCTTGGAGCACTGTCAACGAAGGAGCAACGGTGAGGGAATAAATGGAAGTGGAAGTGAGAGGTGTAACCTAGGTCGTCTTTTGAGGACCAGGCCTGGAGCCTTCCAGACCTGCAGTCCTATCCCTCCTTGTTCAGCTTCCATCAGGAAATGGCCGATAAAGAGCTTAAGTCTACTTGTCAATTACCTTGTTCAAAGTTGCCAACACATCTTCTTTTTTATGGGTCTTGTAAACTTTTGCCAGCAAAAGTAGGCACTTGACATCATCCATCATGGATGGGATGTCTTTGACTGCAAAATGAAAACTCAAATTAGTGTTTTCTGGCCCCTGGGAAGCTGGGGATGGGGCTAGGTTCAGGACCCCAGCTAGTGCCCACCCCTAAACCATTCTGCAAGAGAAGAGCGAGGCGGGGTGGAAGGCAGTGTGCTTGCTCCAGATGCTGGGGTGTGAGTTCGAGTGCTGCCTCACCAAAGTCATGTTCCAGGGCCTGCTTCAAAACTTTTTCTGCTTTGTTGAACTTCTTTAACTTCAGAAGCAGTTCAGCCAGATCGCAGCACAGAAAGTCCTGTCCGCTAATCTTCTGCGCAGCCTCATAATAATTAATTGCCTTAGTGCAAACAGGAAATATTGGCATCAGGTCTGGTTCTACACTTGAGCGCCTCTCACCATGTTCCCCTCAGTGGCCACCACACCTGTGTGCCCCTCCAGACGCAGAAGCCTAAGACGAAAAGGCCCTCCCAGCTGGCACAGGGCTCAGGTCTCAGCTTAAGCAGGTGTGGGGGGATGGTGGGGAGTTGCTGAGTTCTCCCCTTGGCACCCCATTAGGCAGAGAGCTAGGGTGGAAACTCAGACACTCCCCTCCCACCCAGACCTTCCCACATGTGCACTCTCCTCCATCTTCCCTGCTGGGCTGGCCCTCCCCACCCTTCCCACCCCAGCCCAGCCTGACCTTGGTGTACTGGTGGGTCTTCACATAGGCTTGCCCAATCCTGCTGACCAGGGAGGCGTCGTGTGGGTTCTTTCGATAGGCCTCGTCATAGACCTCCAGGGCCTTCTCGGGCTGGTGGGGAAAGTGTCCAGGGGTCTCTCTCTTCCCTCCCACTGGAGAAGTGAGATTGGGGGGCTACTTGGCAAGGCCCTGAGGCTTTCACTCACCTCCTGAATGTTCATGAAAGCATCACCCAGTAGCAGGCTGGTGTGGGGGCCAGGCAGATGTTCACAGAGCTCCCTGGAAAGGAAACCAAAAGCTTATCTCAGACCTGTGCACCCTTCATTTTCCTGAATCCAGCTCCTTCTCTTCTTTCCCACTAATTCTGGCTGACATTCATTTGTTATTTCATTCTTCATCCAATACTTATTGAAAGCCTACTGGACAAGAGGTATTGTGCTAGCTACCTTAGTTTAGCTCTCCTCATCTGTCATCTGGACCATGGCCAGAGCCTCCACCCATTCCTCTGGCCTCCAATCCCAACTCTCCAGACCCCTCTCCATGAGGCAGCCACCCTGCTCTTCCTAAAATTCCAATGTGACCATGTCACCCCACTGTTTATTGGTTTCCCGTTGCTCTTGGCATCGCCTCCTCTACCTCCCGCCCAGCACTCCCCTCCCACCTGAATTGCCTAGACAGGGTTTTGCCTGAGGAAGGGGACTGGGAAGGTACTCTTGAGGTCCCAAAGTCAAATCATAGAGACAGCGGCTTAGGGCTTCCAATCCCTGCTCTCCATCCTCCTTAACCTCACATTGGTCACATCCTAGTCATCGGATATTTCCTCAAGGACAGGCAGAGCCAGGGGCCAGGGCAGAAGTACGTTCCCATGGTTCCCACCAGTATATGAGCCATACAGGTGGGGCAAGCAGGGCTCAGGGCAGATTCAGTTCTGTAACCTCAGAACTCAGCAATAAGCCAGGCTAGCTGACCTGTCATGCTCAAATTCTAACCCACAGGAAATTCCATACTTTTATCAAACACTCTGAGAGGACACATTCCAGAGACTCAGGATGAAGAAACACAATCTGGAGAAAACACTCTCTAAAACGCCATTGGAAACGAGGCTGTCAGTCGCCGCCTGGGGCGTACCTGTAGCATCCTATGTAGAGGCTGATGTCTTTGCGGGTCTGCAGGTAGATGCTGGCCATCTTCTCCTTGGCTTCTGTGTAGCAGGGCTGCTTGGGCGTGATGTTCCTCAGCATGCTCAGCGCCATGTCCACATTCCCTTTGCTCAGGGCCAAGTCCACGTTGGCGATAGTGATGTGGATCTCCTCTGGCGTGCCACTGAACTCGTTGATGGCATCCTGCATGACCTTGGTGGCCTCATGCTAAGACATGGGACCGCAACAGACCCTCCATTTGCTGTCATCCACCACAGGTGGCCTGACAACACTTAAAACCTCTTCTAGGAAACTTAAAGCAACCCCCCTTCCCACCCTTGCCCCTGGAGAGAAATGAAACATGGAGACAGCCAGAAGCAGTCCTGCTACACACATAAAATGAAAACAAAATAAATTGACAAAAAGCCCAAGAGCATATATCTGTGATAATAAAACTGTAAATGAAATAAATGTACCTGTTAAATAAAGAAGACATTCATAGTGGTTTAAACAAACAGACAATGGAACGCCTACTGTCTATACTCCAAAAACCAAAAGGCCGAGAGTAAAAGTTAAAAGATGGTACATACATACCAGGCAAACAAAAAGAAAGCAGAGATTGAGGAAGAAATGTCTGGTGAGGTTGAATGCAAGGCAGAAAGCACCAAAATGGGCAAAGAAGAGTAACTTAAATAGTCAAGAGTACAAATATAATGAAGATATAATTCAAAAGAACCTTTCTATCAAGAAATATTCTGTGTAAACTTTTATTTCATATTCTCCTTTACAAGGATGGAAAAAATTAGCATGTTTATAGTCCCCCACCTTCCTTTCACATCCCTCTCCCTGAATTTTTTCAGAGGATATTATTATTTTGACTTTAATAACTTCTATTTCCATAACTTAGCAATTATACTGGCCTAGAGTCAAAATTACCATAGTTATTTCAATGTAACTATATTTAGATTTATTTAGATTAGTTTTATGTTTAGAACTAATTGAACTTAATTCTGTCCTCATACCTCAAATTTTTTCCCACTCATAAAAACTTCATTTTATTTCATGTTTTGGTTGTCTGGACTATATCTACAAGCAGATTTTTCAGAAAAGTTTAATTAACACCATAATTCTTGAGTTATTCCAGTTTTTAGAGAGTCTTTTATTGCTTTCATACATGAAAGATATCATGGGGGACATCCTTCCACCCTCAACTCTTTGTAAATATTGTTCTGTTGTCTCCCTGAATTTAGTATTGTTGAGTAAAAGTCTGAGGCCAAGCTGAGTTTTTTCTCACAGTGGGTCATATGCTCTCCACCTAGATCATATAGGAACCTTCGTTACATTGCTCATCCTGGATTCCCATAAGTTCTTTAGGATATTATTATGAGGCTGTTTCTTGGTCTTAACATTTCACTGCTATTTCCCTAACACAGAGTGCCTTTCTGAGCTGTGGATTCATGCCTTCCCTAAAGGAATTTTTCTCCTACTACGTCTTTGAGGTTTTCTCTGTTCCATTTGTTCTCTCTTCTTCAGGAACATCGATTATACCTTTGTGGGATATCTGTTGTCTGTCTTTCTTATCCATCATCCTCTCAAATCACTTTAATCATTTTCCTGGTTTTCTCCACCCTTCCCTCCAGTCAGAGAGCTTCGGCAAGAGCTGGGCTACTCTCTGCTCTTCTTCGTGGGATTCTGGCTTTATAATGGTGTCACTGTTTTCAGTGGTTACTTTCTTTAACTCTGCTAGCTGACTCTTCATCTTTCCCTGTTTTACTAGGACTCCTGTCTTGTGCTCTACTTTGAGCTTGTTTTACAAGATTCCTCATTCTTTTTATTTCCATTGAGTGCAGAAAAGTTTTTTGAAAAAAATATTTCTTCTATTTTTTATAGTACTCTTTCTCCCAAAGTGTAATCTTTACTTGTCTTTTGCTTATTATTTTCTGTTTCCTCCCTCCCTCCTCTCTTTTCCTCCTTCCTTCATTTCTTTCTTTCTTTCTTTCTCTCTCTTTCTTTCTTCCCTTCCCTCCCTCCCTCCTTTCATTCTTTCCTTCCTTCCTTCCCTCCTTCCTCTCTTCCTTCCTTCCTATCTTGTAACCACCTATGGTTCTGCGTTAGACCCCTTCTGATCACTGCTAATGGGATCTAACAGGAACAGCTCCATCTAACCTGCCCTTTTCTCAAGTACTAGGCTGGGGAAGGAGAGTGCCCCAGCACAGCAGCCCTGGGAGCACCTCTCCCCTTAGCTTTCTGTGGGTCCTCCTTGGGGGTAGCGTTTGTGAGAAGCGGGGGTCAGGATGGAACCCCTTGGCTCACAATGAAGGCCACAGCCCACAGATCCATTAACTCAGCAAAGCAAGCCGCAAACCTGATTTTCAGGTTACGTCCCCCCTTACTTGCCTCTGGCCCACCCCTCCTGTAAAGGAGTTCGGACAGAGAAAACCAAGGAGACATTTCAGCAGGGAGTTCTTGTTCGGCAGCCCTGCCCTTCTGTGGGCTGGAACTGGGTTCCTCTAGGAATGGCCCTGCTTTTCCGGGCTTGACCACATCTCCAGTTCAGAAAGTTTCAAGCACATGCAGGAACCTCAGGCCCCCCACTCACTGCACCCCGCTTTCTCTCTTTCCCACCAATGGTAACTTCTGAAAGCACAGGGGCCTTGCTGGCCAGCCCCAGCCCCCATCACACTGCTTGGCACAGTAGGCCCTCAGTCAATAGCTGAATAAATGACTGACTGAATCAACTATTCTTAGAGGCAGCTGTTCCCTAATTTTGTTACAGATGGAGATTCCTTCTCTACTTTTAATTCTTTTGTTCCTTTTGGCAGATTTAAAGGAGGAAAGTACAGTCATGCGTCACTTAACGACAGGGATACGTTTTGAGAAATGCGTCGTTAGGTGATTTCGTCATTGTGTGAACATCATACTGTACTTACACAAACTTAGATGGTATAGCCTACTGCACACGTAGGCTACACGGTACTAATCTTATGGGACTGCCGTCATATATCCAGTCCTTCGTTAACTGAAATATCGTTATGCACCACATGACCATACAATAAACAGGCTTCCACATTTCCATCTTTGCCCAGAAGGCAGTTTTTAACTTTAAGGAGAAGAGACTTCATGGGGTGGTTCCTTCTCTATGCCAGGATCATCATAGGAAAAGGCCGGATGCCCAGTACTGGGGGATCCCAGAGATGGTCTTGGAGCTCTGCTGACACACCCCTTCCCAGTAAGCAGGTGAGTGGGTGAGGCCAGAGAGGCCAAGGGAGCATGCAGAATCCAGCTCCCGCCAGGCCTTGACCCTGCCTCTATGTTCTTCTTTGCTCCTGTGTACCAGCATAGGATGCCCAGGTGCTTCCTGCCTTTGTCCAGCCAGACCTTCCAAGGCCCCAGGGCTGTCTTATACTGTTGAGCACTTTGTACACTGCAAATCTCCAAGGGGATACAGTTCATAAAGATTGTCAAGTGACTGGCGTCCACTGGAGCTGTGCATTGCCCAATCTGCACAACCACCTGTGGTGGCCCTAACGTGCTCCACCTCCCTGAGATCCTCATGGGGACAGTGAGTTGGGCAGGGAACAGATCATACAGGACTCACTAGGATTTGGACTTTATATTGAGGGCAATGGGAGCCACTGAAACCTTTTAGGTAGGGGAGAGATATGCTCTCAAATGAATAAAGGCTCAAGTAACAGCACAAGTAAACATCACCCAGAATCAGAGCCTAGTTCCCAGGCCTACTCTGGACCTCCGACATGCCCCACTCCCAAGGGAAGAGAGCATGGCGTTTCTTACCAGCTCCCCATTCATCCGGAGGGCATCCACCAGCTCCAGTAAGATGGATACCCGTTCGCTGGGTCGCACAGAGGGCCCCCTGAACTTCTTGCCTTCTTCCATCTTCACAGTTGGCAATTTTATGATCATTTTCAATGCCTTTATAGCTTCTGGATAGTCCCCAGACTTGTTGAGGGCCCTGGCCTTGATGAAGTGGTAGAGGGGGTGGTCTCGGACCTAGACGAGCATAGCGGAGTGTGGGGATCGAGTTCCCCGCTGCTGCTCACAGTACCCAGGGCCGAGAAAGCCACAGGAGCCCACTGAGCCTGCCCTGCCTTTGGGCCAGCAGAAGGGTCTGACGGATGTAGGTAGCTCCCAGGGCTACTCTCCCAAGGCAAGTGGGGCTGTAGCTAGCTAGGCTTCTGGATGCTGAGCGGGCAACAGGGGCAGAGGACCCCCACCTGGAAGTTGTGGCTGACACCCAGCTCTAAGCAGTGGGAGCACATGGCAAAGTTGCCCTGAGCCAGGTAGATCTGGGACATGAGAAGGTGAGCGTCCACGGAGGTGGGGTCCAGCTCCAGGCAACGCTGCAGGGTGCTCTGGGCATTCTCTAACTCTCCTAGAAAGAGGAAACAAACCTCTACATCCAGGGATCCTTGGGGACTCCCAGGACCCAATATGTAAAGGCAGAATGACTTTTACATGTCCTATGACCCAGAAATACCCAATTTGGGCATGTACTCAGTTCTGTTCTGCTTCACTCAGAGGTTTCTTCCTAAAATTAGAACTACACAGTTTTTGCTTGGACCCAGACAAAAGCCAGAAAACTCAAACCTTGGTGTAACACCTCCCTTCTCTCTGCTACTCTCAGGGAGACAGCCAAGTCACTACACTGCTCCATCTGGAAGCTCAGGGGAACAATTAAGTCTCAATTCCCACACCTCAGAGCAGCACAAAACCTAATAATAACAGCAACTGTAATAGCCACAACTTATGAAGCAGCTGCTCAATGCCCAACACATGCAAAGCACTTAAGACAGGCGGGCTTAATAATTGTCCAGCCCTACAAGGTTGGTATTACCATCCTTGTCCTCTAGATGTAGGACTGGGACTCCAGTGATTTAAGTCACTCCACTCGGAAGGGACAAAGTCAGCGCTGAAATCCAGGGCCACTGGCTCCTGAGGCTGAGCTTCGAATGCCCTGGCACTATGCAGCTGAGAGGCCTCCGTGCAGCCAGGCTGGCCCTTAGGGGGTGGCAGTGGCAGCCTAGGGGTGCAACGAGCTGCCAGGAGAGCCCTCCTCCCTCTGCAGCCAGGTCCCTCAACAGCTCCTGCTTGGGGTTCATAACCCGGTGGGTGGGGAGCACCTGCTTCTGGGTCCCAAACCCCCTGCTCTTTCTCTGTGTGCTGCAGAAAAGTGAAGATGTCACCATGGCAACCTAAGCACCTGGAGACCTTGCTTTGGTCCTAAACTTGCTGGCAGCTGCCAGCACCCCTGGGGGAGTGCCCCTGCCCTCCCTCATACCCAGGAGACCTTGAACCTGTGGATAAACCTGGCACCCGGATGAACACTGGCAGGACCAAGGATGAAGACAGGGGAGCTCTCAGCAGAGCGCAACCCACACAATGCAGTGCCAGAGGACAGATACACCCCTTGCTATTCTGGATCCTTTGGAAGCTGCCAGGACATCAGAGATCAGCTTGGCTTTCAGACAGACAGGGAGAAGGGCCACAGGGAGAGTACTTCAGAGAGGACAACAGGGCCCCTAGGGAAGGCTCTCTCCTCTTTCCCTCTCTTTCTAGGATCTGGGCTTTGAGGTGGGAGAAGCTGGAAGCGTACTGCTCTGGCCGCCCGGGGGCTCTGAAAGCCTAATGGTACAGGGTCTCACTTCCCTATGAGGCCTGCCTGACAGCCTTTTAAAAAGTACAGCCCTGACGCCGGTCCGGTGGCGCAGCAGTTAAGTGAGCGCTCTCTGCTGTGGTGGCCCAGGGTTCGGATCCCGGGCGCGCACCGACGCACCGCTTGTCAAGCCATGCTGTGGCAGCATCCCATATCAAGTAGAGGAAGACAGGCATGGATGTTAGCCCAGGGCCAATCTTCCTCGGCAAAAAGAGGAGGGTTGGCATCGGATGTTAGCTCAGGGCTGATCTTCCTCACACAAAAAAAATAACAATAAATTAATTTAAAAAAAAAAACAAAAAAATAAAAAATAAATACATAAAAAGTGCAGCCCTGCCACCCCTGCATCCCCTTCCCTGCTGTAGTCTTCTCCATTGCATTATTGTCTCCTAACAAACAACACAATGTGCTTAGGTGTTATGTTTATTGTCTATCGCCCTTACTAGAATGCAAACTCCACGAGGGAATGTGGCTTATTTTGAGTACTGCTGTACCCCAATCTCAGAGAGGTGCCAGCACGGAATGGAAGTTCAGTGACTGTTACCTGGCACAGAACAAGTAAGCGATCAGCAGAAGGCCGGGTGGGAGAGACCCCTGCTGGTGAGGAAAGTCAGGAAGGTTTCCCGGGGATTGGAGGCTGGAAGGAGTGGGCAGGCCTGGTGAGGGTGTGCGTGTGTGGGCGCATGTGTGTGTGCGCGTGCTCGCGTGCGCGCATGAAGTATTCAAGGCAAGGAGCCTGTGGACACTAACCCAGGGGCCCCACCTGGCCACAAGGACCCCAAGGGCTCACCTGAGAGATACTTGACCTGAGCCATCACATACAGGGGGTCGATCAGAGCTGGTGCTGCTTTGACTACAGGATTCAAGATCACAGCGACTTGTTTAAGAAGTGGTGACACGATCTGGCCTGGCGACCGGGGCTGTAAGAACACGGGGGTCTGGTTGTGCGGTTTGCCCTATTCCAAGAGAGACTCCTGGAGCTCTCAGAAAACACTCTGTCATGAAGGAATTTTACTTGATTCCACACATATTTATGATCCACTCTGTACCATAAACTCCAGAGAATCGGGACTTTGTTTGGTTCACTGTCATGTCCCCAGTACCTCACATGGTGTCCGGCACATGGTAGTGCACTCAATAAATATTTGTGGAATGACTCATTACAAGGCACTGAGGGGATATTAGGCGTGTAAGATAAGATCCTTGCCCACAAAGAATCTTGACTGGCTGGGAAAGCAGGACAAACAAGTAAAGACTAACATACTTGTTAGAAGATTTCTGGAAAAAAAGGAGCCCAGTTCTTCCCCAGGATAAAGGTAGGGGCATGGGCCAGTGTCCTGCTCCTCCAAGTGAGGACCCTGGACCAGCAGCACTGGCATCATCCGGGAGCTTGTTTAAGATGCAGGGCTTCATGCCTCACCTCCCAAGTCAGAATCTGCACTGGAACAGCTCCCAGGGAAGTTGTGTGCTGCATGTTCAAGTCTGAAAAGCACTGGGCTCCCCAGTCACCTAAGATTCAGAGCAGCCTGGTGACAGGGCAGGTGAGGTCCCTGCCTCTGTCCAAACCTGTACTTCAGGCCCCTGCCAGGAAGATGTGCCTTTCTCTAACCTGCTTGGGGCAGAAGAACAAGTACTCCTTGGCGATGCAGATCAGGAAGAGGGGGTCCAGCTTTTCAAAGTACTCGGAGCTCAGGGGGAGGCCCTGCATGTTGGAGAAGTGCAGCTCCGCTGCCTCCTTCAGGAGCGCTGTGGCCTCCTGCTCCCCCTTGTGCTTCTTGGACGCCAGAAGGGCTTGGAGGAAAACCAGCACCTGTGGGAGGCAGGCCCTGGTCTTGGAATCAAGGCCAACTGGGCAGAGTAGGTAGGCGAGGGCAAAGTAGAAGTCCAGGCCATCTTAGCTGCTCTCTACTGGAAACTGGGGGTAGGAGGAAGGCGGGGGACACAATCCTGGAGTAACTCAGGCCCCCAGAGAGCTCTGACCTCAGACTTCCCAAGGGACTGCTGCACCTCCTCCAGGAATTCCAGCTGGTGCTCAGCCTCCTCCAGGTGGCCGTCTAAGATCTGGCACCAGATGATCCCTGGGAATGGGACAGAACAAGCATGAGCAGCCAGCTCTGAAGCAGAGCCAGCAGTCCAGCAGGCCGAGGAGCATGGATGAGACAGTGGAATGAAGGGGTCTTAGGGCAGGGGAACTTTTCCAACATCTTCATAAACTTAAAGACTGATGCACGCTCACGGTAAAGAATTCGAACCCTAAGGCGATACAGAAAAACATCTCTAGCTCACGCTCTGGCTTTAACCAAGTCTCTCTCTAGAGATAACAACTTGGTTGTTATATACACACATTTTCCCATCAGTTCATACAAATCTACCCTATTCTATTTAATGACAACATAATATTCCACTGTGGATGTAACCATTTATTTAACTATTGCCCTATCGAAGGAAATCTCACTTCACATTTAGTTTGTTTTCAATATTTAAACATTACAATGTCACGGTGAACATTTTTGTGTGTTCTAATTCCAGAAGTAGAGTTGATGGGTCAAAGGGCATGCATATCTAAAACACTGATAGATAAGGCCAACTTGTCCTCCAAAGATATCTGAATTAATATTACTGCCAAGAATTTGAAAGTGTCCTTTCCCCACAATCTTGCAAACTGCTTTACTCTGTCAGTCTAAAAAGTGAGTAGTAACTCACTTTAATTCACATTTTTTTTCATTATTAGGGAGAATGAATATCTTTTCATATATTTAATAGCCTTTTCTTTTCTACTGGGGATTTCCTGTTCATAGGTTTTGCCTGTTTTTCTTTTGGGGTGATTTTCTTTTTCCCATTATATATTATTAACCCTTTGTTGCAAACATTTTCTATTAGTTTGCCATTTATTTTTTAACTATTTTTACCGTGTCTTTTGCCATCCATTAGTTTTAAATTTTTACGTAGTCAAATTGGTATTTTCCTTTATAGCTTGAGTTTGTGGTCAGGCTTAGAATCCCCAAGGGAACTCAAGTCCAATTTAATTTTTTTGTTTAAACATTTAATTCATCTGGAATTTGTTTTTGAGTATGATGTGATATAGGTACTTACCTTTATTTTTTTCATGATGGACAGCCAGGTGTCCATGAATCATTGAAACTCTTGGTTTGAAATGTCATTTTTATCATAAGACCTGTTTCTGTCTCATTTATCTATTTATTTATCCTGGCATTGGCCTCAAACTGACTTAAATACTCTCTTTTTGTTATGTGTTTTGATGTTGGGAGGACAAATCTCTTCTGTTCCTATTATTCTTCTTTTATAAGATATTTCTTGGCCATTTTGGTGTCTTTAGTCCTGACTGTCTTCCTAATCACCATCTTGGTTTTCAATTATATCCGTCTCACTATTTGGCTCATCTATGGAATTTTTTACTTTGCAATCATATTTTTAATTTTCAGCAACTCTTTTTTGTTGTCTGTATTTTTTTCATAATAGCATGTTCTTTACTTATTGACATAATAACCTCTGGAGCCAGCCAACACTGGAGATGTTTTGGGGGGGAAATTCCTTTTTTGTAACTCGCCTTAACTCTGCTCCTCAGAGGGCACTGCTTTGCATGTTCCACTCAGCCCCTCTTCCAAACTGTTAGTGGATTTCTAAAGGGACTACACTGATGAGTATCAGCAACTGGGGCAGATCTCCCAAATTGTTAAGGTCACTGATTTTCCCAGCCAGGCCAGATAAGATGGGTGACTCTAGGACACACATGAGTGGGCTTGGCCTGGGCTGGAGTGTGTGGGACGGACGTTGTGACCAGTGGACTTCCCTTCTGGCTGACCAGCTGGGGCTCTCCCTTGAATGAGGAAGTGGGGAAGGACTTAGCCTGGTGGAGGAACATTTTAGAGGATTTTGCCTCTGTGCCGAGCAGCCAAATCTTTTTATCCTTTGTGTCTCTGGTGGTGGTAGGAAGTCATCAGGGACTCTGCTTTGCTCCCTCCCACCCCCCCCCAGTAGTAAGAGCTTCCTTGATTCCATTCTTTGGTTTTCAGTAACCCTCCCATTATCTAGCTGACTGTCTCATGGCATGTTTTGCTCCCAGCCTTTGGTGACCCTGAGCTTGTGTTTTTAATGCTTGTTTTTCCTGGAGCTCTTTGGGGAAAGCTGATCGACTCATTTCTTTAGCTGACCCATCTCTGGCCATGTTGGCTTATGGGTTTCCAGACCTGCTTGGAGTTTCCACGTATTTGATGTGATCTGCTTTATGTCTTCTAGAAATGTGAAGTTCTCAAAGTTTCTGGTCCACTGAAGGCAACTTTCCCTATTTCTAGCGCTGCAGTGGACTCATTAGCTTTTTAAAATGTCTTCTGTTATTTTCATGGGATTTGGGGATGGAGGAAGAGGCAGTGACTGAGGAGTCAGTCTGACACGTTGAACCAGAAATCAAGACCAACCACTCTGACAACTGCACTGCACAGATGAGAAGCCTGGAGTGTAGAGAAAAGTGACTTGCCCCAAAAGACACAACTCCTCAGAGCCAGGGCAAGAAGCCGGCCTGCCTTAGGCACTGGATCATACAGCTACTGCAACTAAAATGAAACACTGCTGGTTCAGAATTTACCAGGGATTTTGAGGGCTTTTAAAAAATGTGTAAGATAAAAATTGAGCTCTGAAAAATGCATTTGACATTTATATAAAGGAGGGAAAAAGCATGTAGACAGACAGGGAAGTAAAACTCTCAAAACTCCTCACTCTGGTGGACTTTCAGCTCAGGGGCCTGCAGAGGAAGGGTCTACAGAGGTGAGGCTAGAGGCTTTGGGGCACGGGTGTGTTGGGAGCAGGACTGTCTCCAGCACTGGCTTTGCGAGGCCTGAGAAGAGGCAGGGCCGACCAAGCATTAGGAGCCGGCTGTCAGTCTTCCAAGGGGGTCAGAGTGTGGATATTGGAGGTCTGATGTAGATCAGAGTGGCTTTGACCACATTTTCGAGAATTCCTGTGCCTCTTACATCCATACTTGTGGATTTGTGGAAAGGCGCCCCATCATACAATACACCCCCAAACTCACACACCCTCTGGGGAGAATGCTTCCCAGCATCTCTCTTCTGGATCCATGGAGGCCACCTTGCTTAGCTTCCAACACCCACTCTCCCCCACCCTCAACCCCAGCCTGCATAGACCTGTCAAGGCAGCCATACTGCTCTCGTCCCGTTTCATCGCCTCCGAGTACCATAGGGATGCCTCCTTCACTTGGTCCTGCAGGATGAAGAGATAGCCCAGCTCTGTGGCCACATGGGTATAGGAGGGTGTGGCCATGAAGATGCGTTCAATGAAGCTACACACTAGCCGTAGAATCACCTGGTGCCTCCCACACTGCAAGGAACAGACACATGGGAATGGGGAGACCAGTCAATCCAGCCTGTCTGAGCAAGGCCATGTCAGAAATGGGAGACACTTTGGCAGGCCTGGGGGCTGCTCAGGAGAGCCCAAGAGGTACCCTGTGTCCAGGCAGTCGGGTCTGTGTAGCTGTCCAGCTCCCAAAGAACCTCCCACTGGCCACATCTGGGGAAGCTGCCTCCAGTTACAGGGCCCTCCGGGGGACCCACCCCCTGTCTGGCCACAGTAATTGGCCCAACAAGTCACCAAGAGGTTTTTCACAAATCAAAGCTGGGTGAAAGAAGCTCTTTGTGTCCCATTGATGGGAAGTGGCCCTGAAGACTGTGAGCAGCCACATTCCCCGCCATGTGGAGAATGAGGCAGAGAGAATCAAACACAGACATGAAGGGAGAGATGGTGTCCCAATGGCATTTGACCCCACAGTTCTGCCCCTGTTCTTACAGCAGTTCCTTCTAGTAAATCTTGCTTTGGGGCTGAAGGGTCTGACAGAGACAGACTGTTTGGCAACCTGGTCTGCTTGCACCTTGCCTGATGTCAGAGAGGCCTCGGCAGGCCAGCCTTCCCAGGTCACTTCCATAGAAAGAACATGGGAGTTGGGCACCCCAGCACCCCGAGGCCAAAGCTGGACATGGCTCTGCTGCACAACAGCTGTGATACTGCCCTCTGTCCCCAAATAAGGCGCCTCCCACTCTAAAAGCACTTCCACACCTCATCTCCCTGACCTTCAGAGCGTCTCTGAGTGGCACGTGGGCCAAGGATACAGAGCCCAGCTGACAACAGTTATTGGCCAGAGGCAGGTAGGGGCCCCAGGGTACGAGCCACCATCCTGAGAGGCCAAGGTTGAGCCAGAGAGGGGAGGGGCAGGGTACTCGGGGAGCTGCCACGGGGACTGCAGGGCTCCCATAAGCAACACAGCGAGAAGCACTATTTCAGAAACCAGGAAAGAACCTTCTTACCAGTCTGCTAATCACAAGAATCTTTTTAAGATGGAGGCTTGGATTTTGGGGTTCTCTTGTCTCTAGTGCCGTAATCAGATTTCTAACGTAATCGGTAGCCTGCAAGGACAGAACAGACAACGTCAAAGGCAATATATAAAACAGGAGTTGGGCAGAGGTTCTCAATCCTGGCTGCACATTAGCATCAGCTGGGACTTAAAAATACCCATGCCCAGGTGCCAGCCCCAGAGATTCAGATTTAACTAGACTTGGCTGGGCCCAGGCATCTGTATTATTTTAGAGCCCCATAGGTGGAGAGCTTTTGGGAACATTATTCACCCAAGAGTTGGTTCTGCCCCTTTGTTCATGAATTTGTGAAGAGAAGGTGCCGTTTCAGACCCACCAGTCAGACAAAACCAGGAGCCAGCTGTCACCGCGCCCACACCGCAGCCCACCAGGCTGGCAGCAAACCTGGCCCAGGAGCAGATGGTCAAGGCGGGTCCCTGGTCCTGAGCCTCTGCTCCATGTTGACATGAGTCACCACACTGGTGCCTCCCTGTCATTCCACTGAGTCCTCCCAATAGCCCTGAAGTCAGCGTAACTCTCTGAATTTTCCAGTACAGCAGATGAAGGGTCAGAAATCTTAGGTAATTTGCACGAGGTTACCCAGCCAACTGGGTGACTGACTGACTCCATAGCCTGTGTTCTTTCCCATGGACTCTTCTGCCCACTCCCTATGCAGGAGTAGGAAGTTCTTAGTTCCCGGCTGCAAAGAAGTGCCAGAAGAGAAACCCAGGATGGGGTGGGTTCACTCTGCTCAGTAAACATGAGCAAGATTAGAACTGGACAGGCAAGGGGTAGATCCAGGGTTTGATGGGGGCAAAGGAGGGGCATTAAATGCTCACTCTGCCCATGGGATTAACCCTCAGGCCAGGCCCCAGGAAGGCCTGCTCAGGGTTTTGGGGTCTCAGGGATCTGAGGACAGGCCTGCTCTCTTGTTCCTATCCAGAGATGGTGCTGAGGCCCTTTTCGAGAATTCCTCCTGAATATGGACTGTCCCTTCCTCCTCACCCCACCTTGTAAAATCCACAATCCCAGAGCTGTGAACAGGGAACCAGAAGCTTCCTCTTCACACCATGACCCCTTAGAGAGTCTTGATTTGCCACACTTTCCAAAAAGGCAATGTATTTAGTCAAAAGGCAATATTTTGGCTGAAAACACAAACTCTTTTTGAAAATAAGAACCCGTCTGGACATTGAGAGTTTCATTAAGAATTCTAGGTATTTCTGACTGCATTTGATGGCTATTTTGGGTTTCTTTGGAAAACTACAAGGCTTTGGAGCAAGTCTGGGGTGAGGCACTGCCTGGTCAATACTTGAATAATTCCAACCATTCTCTAAAAAAATGGCATTTCCTGAGATCGGAAAAACAACCACGACGTCTATCAGTTAAGATTGATCAAACTATTGTAGTGCACCAGGCACTGTTCCAAGTTCTCCCACTTGTCATCTCATTTAGTCATTATAACAACCTCACAAAGTGGGTGGAATTATCTCCATTTTATAAGTGAGGATCCTGGAGCTTATCCAGATGGAGACACCTGCCCAGGCTCACACAGGGAACAGTGGCAGAACCAGAGTAAACCTCAATGCCTGCCTTTGGAACTGTATGGCTCAAAGACCAAACCAGAGCAGACCTCCTTGGCACGGAATATGGAAGAGGGGGAGGAGAGGGAGCTGAGATACAGGGAGTACCCTCCAAGGCCTTGGGGATGTAGGTGCTATGAGGGGTTCCTCCTTGGCTGTGTTTGATTCAAGGCTCAACTTCTAAGTCTTGAAAGAACTTACTGTGCCCATGTTTCCTTCTCTTGCAAGCTCATGCACAGCTAGCATTTGGCAGGCATCAATATTGCTTTCATCTTTTTCTAGGATTCTGAAATAGGAAGAGGAGCCACATGAATTGAGAGTATTCACAGGCAAGGCTAGGATGGTGTGGCGGCAACTTCTGATTGTCTTCTAATATCCATTCTCCACTTTTCCTTTTAATAATAGAACTCCCAAACTGGTGGGGTACATGGCTACCCAGAATAAAGACTACATTTCCCAGCCTTCCTTTGCAGCTGTGGCCATGTGATTAACTTCTGGCCAATAGGATGTAAGTGAAAGTGCCCAGTGCGATATCCATGCTGAAGGTGCCCTTACAGCATGCCTTCCATTTCTTCTTTCTTCCTTCCTGCTGGCTGTAATGTGGACCATGTGAGCAACATCCTAGGAATAGTAGGGCAGTGAGACAGAAGGGGCCTGGGATCCTATAGAGTTAAGCTGCTGTCCCAGTCCTGGACTACCACCTAAACTTTTCCCTGACAGAGGAATAACCTTTTATGTTATTTAAGTATTTTGGGGTGTCTTTGTGACAGAAGCCTACTTATATCCCAACTAACAGATATGACCATGGTACCATTGTTTGGGGGGCCAGAGAGGTGCTTGGGGGGCAGTCTGTGGCTGTAAAATGGAAAGGGAACCTTGGTTTCCATCATGTATCATTGTGAAGATACAGATTCTGATCATACTATGGATTTTTCAATATTGTTTCTTTATAGGAAACTACATATTTTTCAGCATGATCAGGGAATGGCCTTCTGCTTAATAGAGGGTTACTCTAATTAACATATAAAATTCCAACATGATTAGGCACAGTCAACAATCAAGGAATTCTAACCATTTATGATGATTCTTAAGGTACTGGGAACCTCATAATTTGGAAATTAAAAAAAAAACTTTTAAATGACTTATGGACTAAAGAAGAATCAGAATGGATATTAGAAAATTCTTTGAACCAAATGATAGTGAAAATACTACACATCTAGATATGTAGATACTGTTAAAATGGTACCTTGAGGGACATCCATAGACTTAACATGCTTATATTCTAAAAGAAGATTGAGAATGAATGAGTCAGGCATCCAACTCAAGAGATAGAAATAACAACAGAATAACTCCAAAAGAAGTAGTTGGCAAGAAATAATAAAGTTAAGAGCAGAAATTAATAAATTAGAAAACAAAGACAAGATAGAGAGCGTCAACAAAAGTCAAAGCTGGTTCTTTAAAAAGACTAATAAAAGAGACGAATTATTTTAATATTGATGAAGAAAAATAAGAGAGAAGGGAAAAATAATATTAGGGATGAAAGGAGAAACACACCTAGAGAGAACAGAGATTTTAGAAACAATAGGAGAATTCTGTAAACACCACTGGCTGTGAAAGCCTCCATGAGGGAGGGCGTCAGGTGTTGGCTCTTCCCATTGGCACCAAATGCTGTCTCCTTGCCATGGGTGCAGCAGGGCCTGGGCGAGGGAGGTGGCGCACACCCACGGTGGTGGCCTTCAGCCAGGTGCTTCCAGGTATCCTGCTGGCCCGAGGCCGAGCCTCCAAAGCAAGCTCTTAGTCCAGCTCCCGCCAAGGACACTGGAGAGAGGGGGAAGCTGAGGGCACACACAGCCCTCGCACACGAGGGCCGCTCTGAGCTGAGCAGGGTGGAATCCCTTTACTTTACTACCAGCACCTCTCTCTGGACTCAGATTCCACTTATCATCACAGGAATTATCATCCCTCCACAGGGAAGGAAGAGGTTTGTTTGTGTTTTGTTTTTTTCCATACAATTTAGTAACAGTTCATAGTGATGACTCATAGTCATTCAGAAAAAAACAGTCCATTCACTCGTTTTAGGGAGAAAATTAGTATTACACATTTTAGAATTACTTGATAAAAATAGTTCAAGTGTTAGAGTTTGTTGGGGCCCAGGGCAGGCCACCCCAAAATATCCCACCATAGCATATTGATTATTTTGAATTAAAGTTACTTGAGAAGCAAAAAGGGCATTTTGACCCTTCTCTCTCTGTTCCCCTGAAAGCAGGACATAAATCTCCCCCGTGAAAGGTGCTCTCCCCACACCCTTATCACCAGAGCTAGGGGATTCATGGCTGAGAAGCCTGAATAAACAAACTTTGTTAATTTACTACCGAAAGCCTAAACTCCGCTTAAATTCCTCACTAATTACGTGCCTCAAATCTAAGTTTCTTTGTCTTGTCATTCCTCACAAATTTATTGTTTCTTTGTGTCAAAGATATACATACTGCCTGCTTTGTTCACTCTCTGAGCATCATTTCTCTATGATCTCCAATACGTACGTATTAAACTGGGTTTTTCTCCTGTTAATCTGGTCTTGTGTCAATTTTATTATTAGTCCAGCCATAAGAACACAAGAAGGGAAGAAAGGGGATTTTCCCCACCCCAACAAGTTTAAAGAGATAAGCTTCAGTTATCTAGAAAATGCCATTCTCAGAAAACCTTCCAACAAACACTCCTCCCCCTGAAACTGTCTTTATTTCTAATCACAATGAAAATGCTTCAGGCCTACACTCGGCGTCTGGCTTCCAAGGGTCCTAATAACTCCTGAATTCAGCTGTCTTGCTGATACGCCCAGCCTGCTAAAAGTCTTCTCGAAGTTACCAATGATGTTTTCCCCTGCAGTTTTTATTAAAGATATCATACCCATAGTTTAAAAGAATTAAATAACAACAGTCCCTAGTTCCACTCTCCCTTCACTCTCCCCGCAGAGACAACTGCTTTTCACCCTGTAACTCCGGCTGCTTTGGGTTCTTTGGGTAGTTCCCTCCATCTCCCTTCTAAACAATACTCTTATACCTCCTGATATACCTCTTTCTTGATTTGTCCATCGTAGGCACAGCTGCTCGTTTCCTGCTATGACAGGTTAAGTGTTCAGTTTCATCAGTTCTCCCTCTCCTCCCCCACCCGGTAAGATCACATCACCATTCACAACCCCTCTACTGACAATATTTACCTTTAAGTCTTGGTCCATCAAATACATCGTATCTCCCATCTCCCCACCTTGTACAACGGGAACATATTAGCATCCTTGGCTTGCAAAAAAAGGAAGCAGCACATTTGTGCAGCAGCACAGGTTGACCCCAGCCCCTCACCTGTGTCCTATTTCTACCGTCTGCTCCCAGTCCTGCCGAGCCAAGAACAGCCGCATCTTCAGGACCAGGGCAGGCAGGAAGCTTCCCGAGGCGACGGTGATCTGGTTCACCAGCTCCAGGGCCCCTGAGTAGTTCTGCTGCATCATGAAGTAGGTTGCCTGTGGAAAGTCAAAGAGACAAGCCTCCATCAGCGCCCATGAGGGGAGGTGGGGGGTGTCAGTGTCTCCACCAGGACAGGAGCAGAGCCTGACATATGGGCACTGTGGGTCCCCTCAGCTGGGCCAGGGAGTCCCTCGAAGCTCCTGGGGAAGGAGTCATCACTCAGAGTGACAAATCAAGGTCCATAGCAGTCTTGGGTTCCTGGACAGGTAAGGCAGGGGCTCCAGGGCGACAGCTGAGCCCTAAGCAGGCTTAGCATGGAGCCAGGCCATGTGAGGGCCACCCCTAGCAGGAGAGCTGGGGTTGCTGGGCACTTTTCAACTCCACAAATGGCCCAGTCATTTCCCACTCGCTTTCCTGAAGTTCATCCCTGAAGACGGCTCACCAGAGCCCTGTGCAGCAACTCAGAGTCAGTCAGGGTTTGCAGGCAGCCCCCTCTATAGCAAGGCTGTAGCGCCTTTCCTCTGTCAAGGCCCACTGGGCTGGAGTCAGGGCCTCTGTAGGCCAGTGACAGCTACCAGGTCTCCTGGGTGAGTCATGACACAGGTGCCTGAGGGCCAGAGGGCAATGCTCCTAAAAGACTTGAAAATGGGCTCTTGAAACAATGGCTAATGTTAGACCTATAGTAACCCTCCACTAACAGACTGATTAAAAACAAGAAAACGGTTATTCTAAATAAAGATTTATGCATAAACGTGTTCACTGCCACACTCTTTCTAAGTGTACAACTGAACACATTCTCAATATTAAACGACAGGAGATTGGGATGGTACTTATGTTAGGCCCACACAATAGGGGACTGGCTTTATGTAGACATTCAAAATGACAAAATTTCATGAAGAAAAAGAAACCAAATGATAATATGTCCTGTGATTACAACTATATTAAATAACACTATCTCCCACCCTGCAGTGGTGCTGTGTGTGATCCCCACCATGACCAGGAGAGCTGGCAGCTGATAGCTCTCAGGGGAGCCGCCCTCTGGGGATGGCCCATGGCTGAAGAGAGCTGCCTCGTGCCAGGTTCCACTCCTCCCTAGCGGCAGCCCACATCCAGCATCGTGTCAGTGAGGGGGGGGTCAGTGAAGGGCCATCCCAGCTCCACAGTAACAAGTGGAGTTGGCTGAGGCCTTTGCTCCACAGCCCAACCTCTCCCTCTGCCCAGTCCTGCTTCTTTCATTCTCCCCACAGGTGTTGGTCCCAAGGGCACTCCCTGATAAACCTCCTGCACGATAATCTCCATGGCATCTGCTTCCCAGAAAATCAGCCCAAGGCATGCTCTGAACCCAAGCACAGAACGAGTCTAGACTGGCAGACACTGCCCTAAAATGTTACCAGGAGTTGTTTGGGAGTAGGAGGGCTAAGGATGTCCTTTTAATTCGTCTTTTGACTTTTTTAGACTTCTGTGTTTTTAATGCGTATGTATTCATTTTACCAGAAAGATATATACAAACAGAAGAGAATAGGGGATAGTTTTTCTCTCATAGACTGATTCAATGATGGTCACATATGAAAAAAGAAACTTAATTTAAATTAAGCTCAGAAAATAGAAAACACATAACATACCTCCCATTTCTCATGGCCAAGAAGAGAAAGTGCGAAAGAAAGACGCAGAGAAGAGGGCAGTGAGTGAAACCAAAAGGCAAAGCCGAGACAGCCTGAGAGACCAAAGGAAGACAGACCCTGAGGAGGAGACCCTGACAGACACCTGCAGAATGAGACAGAGACTCAGACTGAGCAGGAAGGAGCATGAGGACTGGAGTGGGCCCTGGGCTGCTTTGTGACCCTGACCCTCTCTGGGCCTCTGCTCCTCATCTACCAGCTGAGGGGCCTGGAGACCGAGGGCCTGGCCTGAAGTCACCTGGTGGGGCTCTGGCTCCAATGGCCCAGTCAGGGATACTCCCACTTCTCCCCTCTCCACTGCCCACCTTTCCCATCAGCCCCAGCACATCTTTGGTGGCCTGAATTCCTTGTTCCAGGTACTTGATGGATTTCTTCACAGTGTGGGGCTTGTCTGACGTGAGGTCCACCCAGCCTCTGAGCACATAGCCCTGGGATGAGAACAAGACGAAAGATGAAGTCCTTGGTCCTGCATAGCCTCCACCCCGCCTGCCTTTCTTGCCTCATGTCCCACCCTCTGTCACCACACCCGGAGGCCCTGCCAGGCATGACTACTTATAGATCCCAAGGCAGCCCTGTTCTCTCTCACTGCCAGGGCTTCGTACCCATTGTTCTTTTGCCTAGAATGCCCTTCCCAGCACACACGTCCAAACCAAGCCCCTTCACCTGATTAACTACCCCTAGACTTTAAAACTCAGCCTAGGAGGCCCTCCTGTAGGAGGCCTTCTTTGACCTTCCAGGCTGGGTTGGCCCTCCCTGTGACCCCCAGCTCTCTTACCCCTTACTGAGGCAAGTCTTGTGATTGCTCGTTTACTTTACACTGGGGTCAGGAGGCCAACACAGGGCCCAGAGCAGGGCTGCGCCTGCTCTCTCCACTCCCTAGACCAGCACAGGGCTTGGCCGGTATGTGAAGGGGGGAAGGTCCTCTGAGTGGGTGAACAGGAGCCATTTTGAGCTTATGGCCTTGCCAGCTCCTCTCCAGCCTTCACCTGGTCTCTCCTGGCAGATGGGGCAGGCCAGGCCCGGGAGGTAAGACCAGAGGGGCACTCGGAAGACCCTGTCCTGAGGCATCCCTCATGGCCTAGACCAAGGTTTCTCAATTCTTTTCCCTAATTGGCCTCCTAAGGAGACTTTTTAGACATTTTTTCCCTAATCATTCCTTCCCCCTCCAAGAAATTTTAATATTACAGATATACTGTATATCTGTTTATGTACTGTGTGTATATCTGTGTTTTACAAATAAAGAGTAAGATTTTTTTCACCCCCTCCTCCAAGAACCAATTTTCACCCCCTTGGGGGGTGATATCACCCCTGCTGAGAACGAACGCATGGCCTAGACTGAGGCTTCAAATTCTACCATTAGTACAGATCTACTGTGTATGAGATCTACTGCATACAAGATCCACCACACAGGAGATTCACCGCATATGATCTAACATATATGAGATCTACTGTATGAGAGATCCACCTCATGTGAGATCTACTGCATATGAGATCCACTGCATATGAGATCTACTGTATGTGAGATCCACCTCATGTGAGATCCACTGCATGTGAGATCCACCATATATAAGATCTACTGCAGGAGCCACCACTGACACCCGGCAGATCACTGCAAAGAGGGAATGCAGGCCCAGTATAGCCAGCTCATCTAGTTTTTCAAAAGAACCGGGAAATCTGAACTTTTAGGTAAAAATCTTATGATTTATAAATGTGAGCAATTAATTCAAGATTTTTAAAACATATAGTGCAGGCCACAGAACACCCAAATGCAGATTGGATTCTTTTTTGGTGAGGAAGATCAGCCCTGAGCTAACATCTGTCACCAATCCTTCTCTTTTTGCTGAGGAAGGATTGTTGGCCCTGGGCTAACATCCGTGCCCATCTTCCTCCACTTTAATGGGACACTGCCACAGCATGGCTTGATAAGCGGTGCATCGGTGCGCTCCGGGGACGAAGCCCAGGCCACCGCAGTGGAGCGCGTGCACATAACTGCTATGCCACTGGGCTGGCCCTGAAGACTGGACTCTGTGGGCAAATGCCAGCGTGTACTCAGCTCAGCCCCGAGACAACGTGGGTGGGGCAACTGTGAGACTCAGGGTCTTGTCAGTGAATGGGTGTGGCCCTTCCTCAGTCCCAGGGCCCTCAGGGGGAGCAATGGCCACCCTACTAAGATGTGTTTGGATGCTGCTTTCTTAGGCTGTTGCCCCCATGATGCCCATGGCGGGTACCTCTCTGGAGCTGTTGGAGACCTTCAGCATGCGGTCAATGTACTCCTTGGCCTTGTCATGGTGGCCCATGAGCCAGAGGAAGAGGCCACCATAGTACAGGGCGGTCCCACTGGCTGTCTTGCGGATTTCCTTCAGGCTGCTGTCCAGCTCCTGAATCGCTTCTCGGTCTGTGAATCCAAGAGAGGAAGAGGACGAGTTAGGGTGAGGAGGTCTGCCTGGTCCTGCAGGGAGCACTGAGGGCCCAGGGAGCTGCACTGGACACTCTGGGCCTCTCAACATATGTAGCTGACTACATGCCAGCCTGGGGCCTGGAAACCAGCAACATCGGCCCCTGTGATGCCACAGGGACTGCCCAGGCCTGGACTTGGGTTTGCTCTCTGGGATTTATCTTTTCTCCTCTGTGCCCCGCAGTTTGCTGAGCAGACAGACTACGCTTAAATCTCCCACCCCAGGCCCACAATCCACTCTGGGTGGGAGGAAATAGTAGTTGTAGTCTCTTGGAATCTCTCCCTGACTCTTGAGAGGTGGAGATTAGGGACAGAATTACTTATATCAGCTTGATTTTTCTCAAGAAGGTCTTGGCAGAGAAAAGCAGGGTGTCTCTCCAACTCTTGGGATCTGGAGGGAGGACTCCTCCCACTGTCATGCTCTCTGCCTGTGGCTCCCACTTGGTTGCGCCTGGGTATGGGGTCTTCTTTGAGGCCTCCCGAGGGAGGGCAGCAGCAGCCACTCCTCGCTGGCCAACAGCATCTGCAGTCACCAGCGCACACACTTCCTTCGGCAGCCCTTGAGGGGCTGTGTGTCTGGAGCAGAGCTCTCTTTCCCCAGCAGGTTCAGGCCTAGCTGAGCACGGCTGCACTCACCGATGGTTTCACAGCACTTGTGAGCATAAATGAGGGCCATGATGGAGCACAGGGACACGTCTGGGTGATTCCGGATGCTCTCCAGTTTGTTGATGGCATCCTGGAGGCGCTCTGCAAAGAAAGCCCATGTGGTTATATTCTTGGGCACCAGGCCCAGAGGACAGGAAGCTCCAAGGCAGACACATGGGAGCCCTTATCAGGGCTGACCCAAGGCTTGTCACCACCTGGTTTCACCCAGAACCAGAGGACTAACTGGTGCAAAAGGTCCCCAATGGCCCAAGTTCCCAGAAGACAAGCTCTCTGAGAGGGCTGCTGGCACCAGAGCCCAGGCTGCCGTGGGCTGGAGAGCTTGGAGCTGAGAGATGTACCTGTGAGTATTCGCAGGGATACCTGTGAGGCCGGGATTTTTGGCTGGGGGTCAGTTCTGAAGAGGGACCTCAGGGCATTCTCAGCTAGCTGCTCAAGAGCCACCGATTACATTTATCCCTCCACATCCACTGACATTGCCTATGGAACACTCAGCCGGCCCCCAGCCCAGGACCACTTTCTGAGTGTCAGCAAGTCAGCACGTGCGTGGGCCCCAGTCCTCTCTCTGCTCCTGTACCATACCTGCCTGTACCCACACCTACCGCTTCCTCCTTTTCCTGCACTATTGGCTTGCAACTTCTGAGCCTGGGATTAGTTCAATAATTGTGCAATCATCTCTCCACACACTCATTTTACAGATAGGGAAACTGAGGTGCAGAGCAGGAGTAGTGAACTCTCTGAGGTCTCAAAAGTCAACTAGATGTGAATTACACAGGCTTCTGTGAATTAACCTGGGAATCCAGCTACCGAGTATAAGAATGTTTCCACGGAAACATGACTGGGGTATAAGCAGGCAACCAGGTGGAGCCAGAGTGTTAGTGGGGGTGGTGCCTGGGGTCACGAGGCCAATACTGGTGAGTCCTTACCTTCCCTGAGGACTCCATAGGCTTTAAAGAACTGCAGCACGGGGTCATTGCTGAATTTCTCCAGGCCCATGGCCGCAGCCTGCTGCACATGGCGGAAGTACTTTTCCTGGCTATAGTAAATGATCCCAGCCTGCAGGGAGGAAGACACAGTTGCAATAACCCCAGTCCCTTCTGTGTCTCTGTTCTGACGCACTCCCTCCCCTATTGCCTGCTCTTCCTTAAATCTGCAAAGGGAAGAGGAAGAGAACATTTAGGCCGCATCCTGCCCTTGACCAGCCCCAGCAGCAGCTCCATGCCGTTTCCCCGGGAAGGAGTTTGGAGGTGTTTGTTTTGGAATTATCCACAGATTCTGGTTCAAATGTGATGGAGACTTCAACTCAAGCTTTGCCTTAGGAAGGGAATAAGGGGAGAGAGAGAGGACCGATAATAATAATAATTACACCAATAGTTAGAGTTACAAGATACTGTGGGCTAACCACCTCTTGGGAACTGTATCAAGGGCTTTACATCCATTATCTTATGCATCATCCTCTCTATATCCTTCACAGTTAAGGAAGCTGGACCCCATGGATACCGTGGCTTGACAAAGGTCACGTGTAATAGAGTGAGATTTCAAAGCAAAGTGTCACTTCCCCTAAGGTTTGTGGGTGCTGGGGTTGGGGATAGCCATGGTTGGATTGTAAACGGCTTTGTGGGCTATATGAAAGGGCCCAGACATCATCCTGAGGGTAATAGGAAGCAGTTGGAATGGTTTTAAGCAGGGGGAGGGATGTGTTCAGATGTGTGTTTTTGCAAAAACCACTCTGGCTGCTGAGTGTGTCTGTGTGTGTGTGGTGGTGGTGGTAGTGGCAGTAGGAGGAACTGCTGGTAAAGAGGGCTGAAGCAGAGAAACCAGTCTGGAGGGGGACTGTTGCAGGTGCCCAGGGGAGAGATGGGGTGATCCTGGTCTAGGAGATAATCAGGAGACACTTAGGAGCTGACATTTCTTGCTGATAGATAGGACCAGGAGTTGGGCATGGGGAAGAGTTAAGACTGGGGACCAAACGGTGGTACCATCTACCGAGTTGGGGGACACAGAAGATTCACAAGCAAGGGAGGGGGAGACGATGGCAAGATGACAAGGATGGGTTTTGGATGGAAATGGGTTTTGGATGCGTTGGTTTGGGGGAGCTCGCGGACAGGGCTGGGTGGGGATGCTGATTTGGGGCTCAGGGCGCACTGAGAGCACCAGAGAGGATGCACTCTCCAGGGAGAGCGAGGCGAGAAGAGGCCAGGACCGCCTGCAGCGGCCGGGGACGGCGGAAGGCAGGTAAAGCGGACAGCAGGAGCGGTCAGAGAGGTGGCAGGAGAGAAGCAGGGTCGGGGGTCACCGGGCCAGGGGCGGAGGATCCCGCAGGGAGCGGGCGGGCAGCGCCCGGGCCACGCACCATAAGGGCGGAGTCATCGCCGCTCATCTCCGGGAGCTTGTGGCTCCGAGTCCGGGTCTGGTGGTGCCGCGCGAAGCCAGATTCCCCTTCAGGGTCCTGGGCACGCCTCTCGTGGCCGGAAGCGGGAGGCGCGCGCGTCCTTGGAAACGGTGTTGCCGGCCAGTTGCTAAGGGCGTCAGAGTCAGGGGTGGGAGCAGCCAGGCGCCCACGTGACCAGGCGCTGGTAATCGAGCGCCGAGAGGGCGAGCTCGCGCTGGTGGCGCCAGGTCGGGCAGTGGGTTACGGGACTGGGGCGCCGGATCCGGGCCGCTGCCATGGGCCTGGGCGCCAGCGCCGAGCAGCCCGCGGGCGGTGCCGAGGGCTTCCACCTGCACGGGGTGAGTTGCCCCGCGGCGCCGGTGACTGGCGGGGCGCCCTCACCGGGACTCCTGGTCGCCGGCCTGAGGGCGGCAGCGACGGGGTCCCGGCCCTAGTGCAGCCGCCCGGGGGGGAGGGGGGCGCCCTTTGCAGGTGGGAGCCGCCTGCGAGAGGCGGCCCTGCGGCGCCCCGGCCACCAGCCCGTCTGCGGTCGCGGTCGGCCCAGTGCCCGCCCCAAGTGCCAGCTGTGCAGGAAGCGGGAGCGTTTCCTCGTCAGGTTGGGCCAGGCCGTCCCGGAATGGCACTTTTCTCTGGTGAAAATTGCACCAGGTCCAGTTGGGACGCATTTGTGCACTTAGGTCACATTTATGATTGCCTGCTGCGTGCTGCGCTCCGTGCTGGGCCCGGGGAGAGAGCCAGCAACGCCGAAACCTCGGCGGTCCCCGCCCTTGGATCCAGGGGGTCAGGGTAACCAAGTGGGCGCCAGCTGCGGGGGAACCGGCCGGCGCGCATCCCGCCTCTCGTGGTTTCGGAGAAGCTTCGGGGGATCGAGGACCAGTGCGAACCAGCCGGGGAAAGTGGGAAGCGGGAGAACCAGGAGAATGCTGCAGAAGGCACGGGGAGAGCGTTTGCAGCAGGGGGCGGTACCCAGGGCGAAACATTGCAGATAGGAGCCGGAAGGCCGGGGCTGAGAACGTCCTCTCGGTGTTGCTACAAGGAGGTCTGGACAAGCAGTCCTGGGGAAGTGGAGACGGAGTTGGGTTGCTAGAATGTGAGGTGACGAGAGGGGCCCGCAGCCAGGTGGAGAGTTGGGATCGAGACTTGTACGGCAGAGTGGGAGGGGCTGTAACCGAGGTGAGAGATAGGAGGGTCTTTGACCCCGGAGCGCAGCGACGAAGGGCCCCCTTTTTCCTGGCGCACAGTGGACGGATGCAGGGGTGGGTGTGGGCAGGCAAGCTTGTCAGTTTGGTGCCTGGCTCTTGAGTGGTCTCTGTATTGTGCTGGCAGGCTCTGTTATCGGCTCCCAGGGGGGAGGGCTAAAGAAGGGGTTTCCTGAAAGGAAAGCAACTCGGAGTTGGCAGGGTTTGTGCTCATTGATGAGCTTTCTCTAGTGGACATCATGGTGAGGCATCAGACAGTAAAGGTGGACGGTGGAATGCATCCAGCCCTGAGAGTCTTCCAACAGGTTTGATGGAAGGCAAAGGAATTGAGGATATTGGCAGGAGAGAGGGGTGGGGCAGTGGTGGGAGTGAAGATAGGAAGGGCCTATTGGAGAGGGACAGAGTGGAGAGGGATTGTAGATCTTCATTCACAAAAACAGGTATTTGTGAGCACATACTTTGTGGCAAGCAGGGAGAGAAGGGAGAGAGACAAGAAAGAGAAATATATGGTGGGTGGTGATCATTGCTAGGGAGAAAAATAAAGCAAGGTAAAGGGATACAGAGTGATGAGTGTGTGCTATTTTGCATAGAGGGGTCAGGAAAGGCTCTGATCAAGGAACACTAGAACAGACACCTTGGAAGGAAGGAAGGAGTGGACAGTACAGATATTTGGGGGAAGAGTGTTTTGGGCAGAGCGGGTCCCTGAGGTGGGGTGGTGCTTGTTGTGTTTGAAGAGAAGGAAGGAGGGGAGGCTGGTATGCTTGGATGGGCTGGTCAGTGGAAGGAGGAGAGTGGTAACAACTGAGGCTAGATTGTGTGGGGCCTTGCATGTTGTCCTGAGGATCTAGGATTTTATTCCGAGATGTGGAGCCATCGGGAGGTTTTAAGAGGAAGTGTGACATTACCTACTTACATTTTTAAAAACTAAAGAACAAGTGTGCTGCCTTCTATAAATATTGGTGTTCCCACTGTGTGCCAGGGACATGGGAGAAGTTCCTGCCCTCAGCAAGCTTAGAGCAGTGGAGGATTTCCCAGGAAATGGCTGTTCCAGGGCAGTGGTTGGGAGCGGGCTCTGGGTTGGATTACTGAATAACTGAGTGTTTTTCCCTCATCTGTAAGTTAGGCTTAGTAAAAGGGTTAAATGATAGGTAAAGCAGATGGTGCAGTCCCCTGGCACTCAGCCAACCCTCAGGAAGTATAAACCTCTGTCACTGTTAATTACATTAGGTTCCCTGATGGGGAATAGAGCAGGGAGTGTTTTGAGAGCAGCATGCATTGTGGGGCTGCAGGGTCGGGTGTGATGGGAGCCCCCAGGAGAGCTGGACAGAGAGTGGTGCTTGTTGAGGGAGTAGGGGTGTGGTGGGCAGCAGCAGGGATTATTTCCGCTGTGGAGCCATAGTGGACGATGACAAGGCCCAGGACAAGGGCAGTGCAGTACAGCCAGACAGAGGACAAGCCACGGGAGAGGGCGGATAGAGGCGCTGAATGGGCTGGGAGAGGGCCAGGCCTGGGGCTTGGGGGCCTGAGCCTCTGGACCTCATTAATGATGGAGAGCAGCTGCCTCATAATGTTGAGGAGGGTAGCGGGCAGATAGCTGGGCGGCACCAGCCCCAGGAGCAGGGGCCTCACCTGAGGGAGGTGGAGTGGCCTAGAAATGGCCCTGAGCAGGGAGGAGCACCTCCCACAAGCTATCCCTGATTAACTGTCCTATGATTTTCAAAAGCTGCCTTGTCCCAGCTGTCCGCTGAGGGGACAAGGTGCAGGCTCAGAGCACTTGCCCTCTGGGCCAGGCCATCTAGAGCTGGACTTGGTTTCTGGGTTCACTCTCATTGGAAGCCATGGCAGCTTCTGCAAGTGGCAACAGGGACTCAATTGGTCACACTCCTGGGAGGGAATCCTAATTCCAGAGGCAAATTGGCCTTGTTGCAAAGGCTCAGTGGTGAGCTCTCCTTCAGCTTAAAGACTCCAGGACTGGAGGGGCTGGTGGGTGGTGGAAGCCACAGGGCCTTCTCCTTGTGGGTGGCATCCAGAACCTGAGGCCGCATGAGCCCTGTGCCCTCTGGGCTGGGGCCTGACCAGCAGGACATCAAGTGCTCACACCAAAGGCCTCAGGGTGTGGGGCCCAGCGTCAGGGTTGTGGACCTGGGAATAAAGGCAGCCTTGTCTGGGTGAGGCTCTGTAAATGGGGCCTGTGAAATGGATTTCTGCCACCGCCGGCAGCCTGCTGTTGTGCTTTTGGAGATGGCGGTGAGCTGGGGAGCTCAGGGCTGGGAATGGCTCCTGGAGGAGATGTCCTGCATGGGAGGAGAGGTGGGAACGTGAGGCAGGATTAGGCACTGCTCACAGGCTCCTTGGCTCGGGCTCATTCCTGTCCCTGGGGTCTGCTCCCCTCAGCCACCCACTCCTCAGCAGTCGCACCGTCTGCTGGACTGAGTTTGGATCTGTCACCACAGGCTTGGGGGGCCCTCTGGGATCTGCTACAGGCTGCCTTCCCCACTCTGTCTTTCTGGGCACAGCCCTGGTTCCATCTATCCTGGGGACCTCCCTTCCTGTCCACATCGAAACCTTTCTGGTAAACCCTCCGGCTTTCCAGAGGCCCCAGCCCAGCCCTCTGGGGCAGCATCCCCACAGGCCTGCACCACCCTGTCTCCATATGGCCTACTGGTAGCCCCCAGACTGCCCTGGGCTCTCTTAGGAGGCATTTCTGGAAGCATAATCAATGGATCATGATCAGGAAAGAGTCGTTTTCCTAAAGACGACAATTTGTGCCGAGGAAGGGAGCAAAAGAAGAGGGAGTGATTCTTGACGATGACCATTTGTGGCACAGTTCACGCCAGTGTCCTTGCTGGAACGTGGGAGTGGTGATAGTTTCTGAAGTTGAGGGCCAGGGGCTTCGGGAGAGTCATGGGGTTGGTGCAGTGACTGTGGCCTCTGCAGGTACAGGAGAACTCCCCAGCCCAGCAGGCGGGCCTGGAGCCCTACTTTGACTTCATCATCACCATCGGGCACTCGCGACTGGTGAGGCTCCCCCATTGCACCTCTGCTTTGCGTGTGTGTGTGTGTCTCCTTCTGTCCCACAGGAGGCCCCAGCCCTGCT